TACTTTCCGTTGCAGAAGTTTTGCATGTGAATAGGAAAGCCAACACCCAGACTTGGCCAAAGGCATTGTGGTATTTACTGTGCTCTTCTTTCTGATGATGGCTCCTCTGCAGGCAATACCAAGGAAGCCCTGGGCCTAGTTGTCTACCATCACTCAACTAACCCAACTCTACAGTTTGCTGGGCCTTAGAATGGCCTCCTTCATCTCTTCTGTTCTTCAGCTGCTGGACAGCTCCTCCCAATCTCACACAGGGCTGATCCACATCCACTGCACAGGCAACACTAATTTAAAACATACCACTTCCCCCAAAGGTTCATGGGAACTATAGTAGCTACAATTTTCAGCAAACTACAGTTCCCAAGATTCTTTGAGGGAAGTCATGCGTCTTAGATATGCCTTAGATATGCTTTGTGCTTTGCTGTGCTGGAGGGAGGATGAGGGGAAGGGAAGCATTGTCAGTATAAGGGTTTGGTTTTTTTTGTAATTAACATATATGCTGTAAGTATATGTTTCATGAAGTTTAATAAAAATAATAAACACCCCTCACAAAACACCAATAGGATTGAGTCTTGCATGTACTATACTTAAGTGAGCCAGTGTGGTGTAGTGGTTAAGAGCGGTGGACTCGTAATCTGGTGAACTGGGTTTGATTCCCCCTCCTCCACATGCAGCTGCTGGGTTACCTTGGGCCAGTCACACTTCTCTGAAGTCTCTCAGCCTCACTCACCTCACAGAGTGTTTGGGGGAGGAAGGGAAAGGAGGTTGTTAGCCACTTTGAGACTCCTTAGGTTAGTGATAAAGCGGGATATCAAATCTAAACTCCTCCTCCTCCTCCTCCTCCTCCTCCTCCTCCTCCTCCTCCTCCTCTTCTTCTTCTTCTTCTTCTTCTTCTTCTTCTTCTTCAGTGAGCCCCTTGTACATTTTACTTATGAGGTTGTACACCTTCCTGTTCACCAGAAAAATGGCAAATTCTGCAATACGGAAATACGGATTATTTTGCAAATTCTGCAGCACGGAAGTTCATTATGCATACTGAGGGAGTAAGCATGCATTCATTTGTATGGCTTATGATTAAACTGGGCTTTGAATTGTCTTCACTTCAAGGCGTGTATAGAATTTTGCAGTAAGGTTTTAGCAATACTCCTGTGTCATTTTAAAATTATCATGACAAAGACCAAGTTGCTAGTCAAACTATGGTGGTGGCTTTCACAGGAAGAATGGTATATCCCAACAGAACAGAGTCTGAGGGCCCATGGTAGCTTTGCACCACAGAGGAAACAAGTGGTATTATGCAAAATTGGTAAATTTGCATTTGGTGTGAACTGGATCCTCCTCCCTTTATAACAAAGATTTATATGTAGCTAACATTAAAAAGTAGAGACATCACCTTGCCAACAAAGGTCCGTATAGTAAAAGTTATGGTTTTCCCAGTAGTGATGTATGGAAGTGAAAGCTGGACCATAAAGAAGGCTGATTGCCGAAGAATTGATGCTTTTGAATTATGGTGCTGGAGGAGACTCTTGAGAGTCCCATGGACTGCAAGAAGATCAAACCTATCCATTCTTAAGGAAACCAGCCCTGAGTGCTCACTGGAAGGACAGATTGTGAAGCTGAGGCTCCAATACTTTGGCCACCTCATGAGAAGAGAAGACTCCCTGGGAAAGACCCTGATGTTGGGAAAGATGGAGGGCCCAAGGAGAAGGGGACGACAGAGGACAAGATGGTTGGACAGTGTTCTCAAAGATACAAACATGAGTCTGACCAAACTGAGGGAGGCAGTGGAAGACAGGAGTGCCTGGCATGCTCTGGTCCATGGGGTCACGAAGAGTCGGACACGACTAAACAACAACAACAAAGAAGAATGACCCAAAGGCAGATGGTGAAAAGTGATAGACAGAAGTCGAGTTCTCCCAGATAGTTCAGATGCTGCTCCTAAATTCTGTTGCTCTAATCATACAAAGAGGAAAGTCACCTCATGGTTCCTTTCCCATCTGAAACAAATTGAATCCCCCCCCTCCATATTTCTATTTGGCAAGCCTTCTTCAGTGGGCAGCATTGCGGGCGGGCCCTGGGGTCTCACCTGTAAACCAGCAAATGGCAGGCTGGATCATATGCCTGCCATATGCAATCATGGTGGGGCTGTGAGGGTGAGTATCTGGGCGTGGGAACAACTGCCCAATGGTGGCACTTGGCTCCACACCCAGGACCAGGATAAATTCCAGCTCTCCCTGGTCATTCGGCCTCCTTTTCTTTGGCAAGGCCCAACTGAACTGATTTTCAAGAACTCATAGGGTGAAAGTGTCTCCTTGTTGCTTCATCTACTAAATAGTTATCCTGGTAATTATTTAATTGGTCTCATCCCATCTGCCCTATCATCCTCATGGGTCTTTACCAGCTTCCTCCTTTAATAGTATGGGTGGAAATCAGAATCACATGGGCTTCCTGTCTGAGAATAAATTCGGATGCAGAGAGCGAAGAGAATACTGCAGAGTCAAGAGGAACTCATGTCAAGATGGATAAGTAGATGAACAGAAAGTTATATAGGAGTGTATTTGGATTGCTGATCATCTGAATATACTAGAATTCCTCCTAATTTTGAAGATCACTGTTTTGTTTTGTGTTTTGTTTTGTTTTTTAATAGACAATTTGGCATCTGCACCTTGGTGTTTTTTGATGAATCGCCTGGATTGAAAAGGTTTTGGATTGAGAGAGAACCACACTAATTTGCCCCTGGAGAACTTCAGAACCATCAGCAGGTGAGCTGAGTTGTCCTTAATGTCCTGCTGCCTTCCTGACCCTCACTGATTTTTCTGTATGAGCTGAACTATTGCTCCCTCAACTCCCTACTCATTCGTTAAGATCTGTGTTATGGATAAGTACCGTATTTTTTGCTCTATAAGACTCACTTTTTACCTCCTAAAAAGTAAGGGGAAATGTGTGTGCGTCTTATGGAGCGAATGCAGGCTGCGCAGCTATCCCAGAAGCCAGCAAGAGGGATTGCTGCTTTCACTGCGCAGCGATCCCTCTTGCTGTTCTGGCTTCTGAGATTCAGAATATTGTTTTTCTTGTTTTCCTCCTCCAAAAACTAGGTGCGTCTTGTGGTCTGGTGCGTCTTATAGAGCGAAAAATACAGTACCTATATGGGATGTAAATATGCTTATTCAAATTACAGCCAGGAGGTGGACAGCAATATTCATTCTCTCTCTTTTTCTCTCTTTCTCTCTCTCTTAGTACAATACATGACCCTCCAGATGTGGAAAATCATGTAGCTAAATAAAAATGTTCATGTGTGTATTTAAGAAGCGGGACAGCGAAAAACATTTGCTTGGCCCACTTTGATTCCAGACAAGCAGTTGCTTTGCAGATGTACAATCAACATATTATAATGTCATAGAATCATAGGACTGTAGAGTTGGAAGGGACCCCAAGGGTCATCTAGCCCAACCCCATGTGAATTGCTACCGCTTCCTTGTCTTTTCTTTGTGAGCATGGATGATTTTACTAGGGTGCGTGTTACAATGCTACTCCCAGGATCCACAGTGATGTATTCCTTTACAAAAAGACATTGACTGTGAAATTGAAATCATGAGGGATACCATGTAAGCCTCCACTCCAAATATTGATGGAGCACTCTTCAGAAATTTGGAGAGGATATGGGATGTTTCTTCTCACAAAAGAATATAGATAGATTAATACAATGTGAATTTATTTAAGTATGTGATCTCAATATGCAATCTATGAATGTGGGACTGTACATGTTGTTACTCTCTGGTACCCAGCATTATTCCTCAGTGCTCTATATTTTGTCCCCAGCATCAACCTAGGGAAGGCAATGGGACCTCTTCTGATGCAATGGGATCTCTTCTGGTATTTTTCACCTGACCACTTTCTAATTTTAAGTATTTCTTATAAATTTCATCGTTACAAAACAACAACCCAGCATTGGTGGGTTTAATAAATCAATGAATGCAATTCTCCTTGGTCTACTGGATGAGTTTTAGGCTTGAATGGTGTCATTGTCAGGCATCCCCAAACTCAGCCCTCCAGATGTTTTGGGACTATGATTCCCATCATCCCTGACCACTGGTCCTGTTAGCTACGGATGAGGGGAGTTGTAGTCCCAAAACATCTGGAGGGCTGAGTTTGAGGATGCCTGGTCATTGTGGTAGTTCCTGTAGCCATGACACACTCTTTATCCCAGGCAGATGTTGGTGGATTTCAATTCCCATCATTCCCTAGCCATGCTGGTTGGTGCTGATAGGAACTGGAATCCAGAAACATCTGGAGGGCTGCCTCGGACAGAATCCACGCCCCTTTAACAGGATACCCTTAATGAGGAAGGGCAGGCGGAGGCTACAACCTCCCCTCCATCCAAACAAAGGCTTACCCAATGCCTAACCTCACAAACTTGTGACCATAGCTTCAAGGTAGGCAAAAACCAAATGGCTGGAGCCAATCTGCCAAGTGGAAAAAATTCCCAAAAATATGATGACCAACATTAGCCCATAGCAAGGTCGTTGCGCAGCAAAGCAAAAGAAGAGACAAGGGATGGGAGATCTGGTGAAGGGTGTGAGAGGACAATCTCCCCGCCACACCATGGTTTAAATTCCCTGTGGCCCCACCCCCATCAGTGCTGATTGGTCACCAGGGGGCGCCCCTTGAGCGGGGCCCTGCCCAGTACTGACGGTGTAGTCAAGCAGCGGTGGGGAAGGCATCAGTCTCCATCCCTGGGCCAGATCACTGGGAGGGCCCGGAGCTCAGGACCCAGCCGCAATGCTGCCCACCGAATCAGGTGAGCGGACCTATCAAACCATCTGATGGAACATGACTTCATAGTTCTTCATCTATATTGGATGTGTGTCTTCAATGACTTCAATGGAATTTGACTTCATTGCATGCCATCATGAAGGCATTTTGCTGGTATTTACACAAAGACAAATGCTTTAATCAACTTGACAGTTAGCTCCATCTATTGGAGACAGATAGCCAGCAGTTCCTGAGCAGGTGGTTGAGACTGATTGTGGTTTTTGTACAGATGCTTGATTGCTCTGGCTCACTGTGCCGCGCACAGTAGTATACTGCTGTGTCTGCAGTTTCCAGGGACCTCAACTGAAGATATACTTCATTTTTGGAGGTGTCCCTGGTGATGCTGATTCGACTTCCAAATGTTGGGCTGTATGTAGTTCCAGCACCATCTTCCGTGTCCTCAATATCCCCCATCCATTTCAGACCCTTCCCTGGAGGCTGCCGGATCCAACTCCAATAATAATCACCAACTTGAACCCCAGAAACTGCACAGGTCAGCTTGAAGGAGTCTCCGGGCTTCACCAGTCCTGGACCAGACTCAATTATCTGTAGAGTGGAATACGTACCTACAAAAGAATGTAGAAGTTGTGTCATAATCGGGAACCTCTTTGTGTTCTACTCAACATTTTGGTTTTATACAAAGGATAAATCCTCACCAGGAGAGCAGCTCAGGAGGATGAAAAAAAGCAATGGGAAACTCATCTTTCTTTCTTTCTTTCTTTCTTTCTTTCTTTCTTTCTTTCTTTCTTTCTTTCTTTCTTTCTTTGTACAAAACAAAAAGGGACTCAGCCAGGTCACGGAGCAATGCTGGATGGTGCTATTTAAGCACGAAGGGCCTGGTCAGGTGATTTGCATAGAGGATGTTCAGTCGCATCTGGTCCTGCACTTAAGAAGCAGAGCGGATGAGATGAGACCTGCTTATGGGAATGACTCCAGTCAAGGTGTCGTGGGGCTGGGGAAGACACTCCCCAGTTTTTGCCTTCTACCCTAATTGCAGCTTTCATTCACAGTACCTTGCACCCCTAATGATGTTCTTTTTAGGAGCATAGGAAGCAGCCTTATACCTTGTAAGACCAATGTCCTTCTATCCCAGTATTTCATTGCTGGCTTGTGTGACAGAGCTCCTATTGATGCCATTCACCCTCCTGTGCCCTTAAGGCAGTATCATTCCAGTACATTTGCGGGTGGGCAGACAGGATGGCTGCTGCAACAAGGTAAGAATAGTGAGGTTCTTCCCACTGCAGGGCTCTATAGCAGTTGTTGTCATTATTATTTTCATTATTATGATATATACTCAAGGCAGCTTACAAACAAGAACCACTAAATACATCAAGAAATCAAACCTTAAAATACAATTGAACATTGATACAATTTAAACCAGGCACCCCCAAACTCGGCTCTCCAGCTGTTTTGGGACTACAACTCCCATCATCCCTAGCTAACAGGACCAGTGATCAGGGATGATGGGAATTGTAGTCCCAAAACAGCTGGCAGGCCGAGTTTGGGGATGCCTGATTTAAACTATGTACATACAGGCAACATGCGCCCCCTTGCACACATTCAACATGTGTGCTACCATGCACATGTGCATCAAGCTGAACGCAGAAGTGACCTGAAAATGCCACAAAAAGTGGCGGAATGGGGCAGGACGGGGGTGGAATGGGGTGTTTGCAATGGTGCTTTTTCAATGGTGTTTCAAGGATACACAATTTCACTGATGCATGTGATGCCTTGGAACGTAACCCCCATGTAAATGGGAGATTGCCTGTATATGAAATCTGTTTAAAACATACTGATAATTACAATAAAAATGGCAGTATGCCAGCCCTTTCCACTGCAGCTGCAGTAAGCTCAACCCCCCACAAACCATCAAAGGCTTTTCTTCTCCTCAAATCGTTTGGCTCACATCGGATTTCAAGGCGGGGCGAGTGACCTTGCACTTGGGTTGTTCTTTCAGGCTTCCCATTAGGGCATCTGGCTTGCCACTGTCAGAGGCTGAACTAGATGGCAGTGGCGTAGCGTGGGGGGTGCAGGGGGGGCCGGCCGCACCGGGCGCAACATCTGGGGGGGCGCGCTCGCACTCGCAGCTCTCTGCCCCTACCTGGCTCACTCACTCTCTCTCACTGCAGTGCTGGCTGTGCGAATCCGATCCGAGCCGCTGGGTCGCCGCCCACTGTGGAGGGGTGGGTGCCAGGCGTGCGGTGCGGAGAGAGAGCGAGGGACTATCTGGGGGAGGAACAGTGCAGCGGCCGCCCAGCGCAGCGCTGAGCGCGGGAGAGAACCACACCAGACCAGCCCAGGCAGCAGCAAGAAGAAGCTGGCAGCGGCGGCAGGTTAGGGGTTAGGGGGCGCAAATTACTTGCCTTGCCCTGGGTTAGGGGGAGCAAATTACTTGCCTTGCCCCGGGTGCTGACAACCCACGCTACGCCGCTGCTAGATGGACCTTTGGCATGATCCAAATTTTAAAGGTGGTTTTGCTGTGCTTTGTCTTGTTCACGGTTACAAAGCTGCGTGACTTTTTTGGATGTATCTGTGACTTCGAGATTAAAACGCAGTTGAATATAAATAAGGATGACAGTGCAACTCAGAATCACTTGGTACAATCAGTCGGTTGGTTGAAAAGGAAGATAATGGGTAACTCAAAGTCAATACTCTCCCTTTAATCACAACCTGTTTAAGAATAGAAATAATGTTCACCAATTTCCAGTACTGAGCCAGTTTAATGCAGCATTCAACTCAATGAGAAGTTTCGAAATGAATTTTTAACTTGGCAAAACATATAATCCCCAGCATTGAGGACACAAGCCATTTATTCAACCCTCTATGGATGAACATTCCGCTTACAGATTTTAACTGAAGACCATTTACTGTCATTTTTCTGTTCTCCAATGCTCCACAGATACTGGGTCTCCTTCAGATGTGAGCTGGGATTTAGAGCTGGGTCTCCCACACCCATCAAAGGGGCTTAACTCAATGTGACTTGAAGCATTGAAGTCTATGGACATGAATATCACCGTTAATGTTTTCCCCGCTTTTCTTAGGCAGTTCTCTTTCTCTGTCCCCGACTGCTAACCCGGGATGGGAGGAAACACCTGGGAGAGGGAGGGTGGGGAGAATAGAATATGGCATAGGTGTGTTTAAACTGAGGTGCTTTTCTTTTAAGCAGAACCAGGTATCCATAGTATATCACTTTCATGTCACTGTTTTCTAACCCTCCTTTTTGTACAGGCCAATGCTTCACTCTGTCCCAATGTGTCTGACTGTTGTACAGTAATGCATGGCTGTGTCTGTAGTTGTCACAGAGCTCAGTCTCAGAAATGACTTGGTTTGTGAAGAATCCACAGAGATGGCGATGGAGCATAGTATGAGCTTGCAGTCCACCCTCCCATCCATTCGAGCTCTTTCCCGGGGGGTCTGTCGTATCCAGTGCCACCAGTAGCTGCTTGTCCCGGGGACAAGTGTGCAGATTCACCCCCCCTTCGAATAAAGAGCTGCAGTCCTTATGTGAAAGTCATTACATGTAAGGCCAGGGAGCTCGTAGCTTTGAGTCTCCTTGCCTCCAAGAACCTCTTTTGTGAGACTTTGCAGGTGGTTGTCAGTCTGGTGATTTGAGAGATTGTTGTTTGCTTTGGAAAGGGTTGTCTCTGCTGCCACCTGCTAGACAAGGAGAATATAGCTGAGGGCTGGTCTGAGAGGTCATAAAAGTGATTTATTTCATATGGTTATTTAAGCATGGGTGACACTGTCATCATAATTGAGCCTAAGATGTGAGAGGCAATCACTTTTAATAACATTTAAAGTGGGAGCTGACTCCATAAAAGTCAAAAAGACACCTAAGCCAATCCAAGCACATCGTACCCTCAACGCTTCTCAGAATTTCTGCTGTCCAAAGAAAGTGGTTGAAGCATTTTGCCCTCAAAGGGGGTGCAGATATTCAGCACAAATTTAGCTGGATTCAGTGGATGTCTGTTGGTGACAGGGATCTATCAGTTCCTGTGCAAGGGGTTGAGTCTGAGGGTGGATCTTGCAGGGATGCTTCCTTCTTTGGTTCACTGTGTCTCTCGCCTCACACAGCAAAATACACTGCTGTGTCTGCAGCTGATGGGGAGCTCAGTTGGAGATACACTTCATTTCTGGAGATGTCCCTGGAGATGCTGACTCGACTTCTCAGTGCTGAATTGATCTCAGTGGTTCCTCCATTTGCAGTGTTGCGAATGAATGCTATCCATTCCAGCCCTTTCCCTAGAGGCTGCCGGATCCAGTTCCAGTAATAATCACTGACTTGAACCCCAGAATCTCTGCAGGTCAGTTTGAAGGACTCCCCAGGTTTCACCAGTCCTGGACCAGTCTCAACTATCTGTGGAGTGGAGCAGATACCTACAAAAGAATGCAGAAATTGTGTCATAATCGGGAATCTTTTTCCATTGGGTTCAACATTTTTGTTTTATTCCAAAGAATAAATCCTCACCAGGGGAGATGCTTAGGACAATGAGGAAAAGCAACATGAAACTCATATCTCCTTCCTTCCTTCCTTCCTTCCTTCCTTCCTTCCTTCCTTCCTTCCTTCCTCTCTCTCTCTCTCTCTCTCTCTCTCTCTCTCTCTCTCTCTCTCTCTCTCTCTCAACTTTAAATTTAGTAAGGAGTGAATGGGACTCAGCCAGGCCAGGGTGTCACACTGGGCAATCCTATTTAAACAGAAGGAGGCTGGTGGGGTGATTTGCCTAGAAGGCGTTCTGTCGTGTCTGGTCCTGCATTTAAGAAGCAAAGAGGAGCAAAGGAGACTCAGTTGCAAGAATGTCTCCAAGCGATGGATTGGGTGGGTGGGTAGGGGCTCCCCCAAATTTTGCCTTTTACCGAATTGCTCTTCCGCCATTCATTCATGGCAGACGTTCCTCACTTAAGCAAATTCTTTTATGAATATAGGAAGCCACCTACGAGTTCTTTTAGGAGGATCAGAAAATTGCCTAGTAAGTCCATCTGCCATCGCTTCCACTGACTGGCAGGCAGCTCTCCAAGATTTCTCTCCAAGGAGAGGACCCCCCCCCCCAAATATTGTCTTCTATCTTAATTGCTCTTCCAGCTTTCATTCATGGTGCACTGTATTTATCCTACCTACGGACATTCTTTTAGGAGCATAGGAAACCTCTGTATGCCTAGTAAGAACACTATCTAGTTCAGTGTTGTCTACACTGACTGGCAGGAGCTCTCCAGGGTTGCAAACTGCAATCTCTCCCAGGGATTGAATGTGGGACTTTCTGTGCACTAAGCTCTACCAGTCAGCCGCAGCCCTTTGCTCCATCAAGTAGATATTTCTGAATCAAACAATCGACGCTTACTGGGTTTCTGGACTGAATGAAAATGGTCTCGCTTAATCACTCTTTTCCCCACTTTCACGGGGTTTGCAGTTTGTGCTGCAGGCTGTTGTCACTGTCTAAAAAGGAAGCCCCCCCCCAAGCCTTGAGTTGTGTCTCATGCACTCATCAATGGCTATCGTGGAGCTTAGCGTCTCCATGATCTTAGCGGCTGATTTTGTGGTTGAATGCATGGAGTTCTACAGCATGAGAACCTCCCCCTTTATCCTGCTTCTCTTTTCTTAATGCAATTCTCCTTCATTGCCGCAGTTTGTGTCAACTTGGGATGTGGAGAGTGGAGAGAAAGGGGCTCAGCTTCAGTGATTTCAAAATGATGTGGTTTCTTTTAAGCAGAACCGAGGATCTATAGTACATCGCTTTCTATTTTCTAACCACTTCCTCCTTTTTGTACAAGCCTCTGCTTCAATTTGTCCCACTGTGCCTGTTGAACAGTAATACATGGCTGTGTCTTCAGCTGTCACAGAGCTCAGCCTCAGAAAGTACTTGGTTCGGGAAGAATCCACAGAGATGGTGATTCGGCCGCTGAGAGATGCTGCATAGTATGTGCTCCCACTCCATGCTCCCATCCATTCAAGCCCTTTCCCAGAGCTCTGTCGTACCCAGTTCCACCAATAGCTGTTTGTCACAGAGCGCCCAGTGACTGTACAGGTCAGTTCGAGGGTCTCTCCTGGTCTCACTGTTCCTTGTCCAGATTCCTTCAATGTGACCTGTGAGAAAACACCTGAAGGGATTTGGGGGGGGGGAGGGAAAGAAAAGGAAAACCAGAGTTAAGCAGTTGGCCCAGCCAGAACTTTAAGGCTATTTCTTGCACAGTTTTATCATTGCTCGTTTAATCCAAAACACATGGGTCATGGGAATTGTTATACCATTAAGTATCTTATCTAATATTCAGGATAGTTCATTTGAATGTGGAGGGGTTGGAGAATGTTTTAGGAGATACTTACCTGGGAGCAGGACCAAGAGGAAGAGGGGGACCAAGAGCAGCATCATTATTAATTTATTTTATCCTGAGAGGAGAAAAGTAATAATAGGAATGAAAAACAATAATGCTGGAATGGAGGCTGCCTTTCTCCTCAGCTGCAGTGAAGTTAAATTACCAAGAAGCCTGTTATTTGAATTTGGGAGGCAGTGAGAGAATTTGCATAATGTAAAAAAGGCCACGCATAATAAAGGCCGGAGACCATTTGAAGCCAATAGGTGTCAGCACTACTTCTTGTGTTGAGATGAGCACATTGAGTGGATGTCTATGTAAACATACAAAATAAATATCATATCATATATCCTCCAATATTACTCTGATGAAAATTGGGGTGTGTGTATTTTGGTATGGTGCTACAGTGCGAGTTACTTGGCTTGCACGAGAGTCTGACACCACTATAAGCACAAGTGCTGGCTCACCCTTCTCCCTAAGCTCGGTGGGGCTGGAGGAGGGAAACGTGACATTCTGGGACCATCAGAAGTAGGGATGGCTTCAATTATTCCGTGATGCCCTGGGACACTTGAAAGGGTATGTAATATAGTACTATGTGGAAAAGGATGGAACAGTGCAAAATGACACAAGACACCCATCGAGGAATGGAGGAAAGCACAGACCAGATTGTGCTGAAACATCCACCAAGCCTTAGCAATGGAACTGTTTCTTGATACCCTTTGCTTGTGATGGGCTATAGGCTATGTTGGCCTCTAGAAGGGGACAAGTGTGCAGATCCATTTCGCACCCCTTCCAATAAAGAGCTGCAGTCCTTATGTGGAAGTCATTACATGTAAGGCCAGAGAACTTGTATTTTTGAGGCTCCTTGCCTCCAAGAACCTCTTTTATGAGACTTTGCAGGTGGTTGTCAGTCTGGCGATTTGAGAGATTGTCATTTGCTTTGGAAAGGATTGTCTCTGCTGCCAACTGCTTGACAGAGAGAATATAGCTGAGGGCTGGTCTGAGAGGTCATAAAAGCAATTTATTTTATGTGGTTTAATAAGCATAGGTGACACTGTAATTGTGCCTAAGAAGTGAGAGGCAATCACTTAATAAAATTTAAAGTGGGAGCTGACTCCATAAAAGACAAAAAGCAACGTAAGCCAATCCAAGCACAGCGTACTCTCAACACTTCTCAGAATTTCTGCTGCCGAAAGTATGTGGCTGAACATTACCCTCACCATTTTGCCCTCAAAGGGGGTGCAGATTTTCAGCACAAATTTAGCTGCATTCATTCAATGGATGTCTGTTGGCGACAGGGATCTATCAGTTCCTGTGCAAGGGGTTGAGTCCGAGGGTGGATATTGCAGGGATGCTTCCTTGCTTTGGTTCACTGTGTTTCTTGCACAGCAAAATACACTGCTGTGTCTGCAGCTGTTGGGGAGCTCAGCTGGAGATACACTTCATTTCTGGAGATGTCCTTGGAGATGCTGGCTTGACTTCTCAGTGCTGAATTGATATCAGTGGTTCCTCCATTTGCAGTGTTGTGAATAATTGCTATCCATTCCAGCCCTTTCCCTGGAGGCTGCCGGATCCAGTGCCAGAAATAATTATCAAGCTGAACCCCAGAAACTCTGCAGGTCAGTTTGAAGGACTCCCCAGGTTTCACCAGTCCTGGACCAGACTCGATTATCTGTGGAGTGGAGCGGATGCCTATAAAAGAATGCAGAAATTGTGTCATAATCGGGAATCTCTCAGCGTTGGGTTCAACATTTTTGTTTTTATTCCAAAGAATAAATCCTCACCAGGGGAGATGCTTAGGACAATGAGGAAAAGCAAAATGAAACTCATCTCCCCTCCCTCCCTCCCTCCCTCCCTTCCTTCCTTCCTCTCTCTCTCTCTCTCTCTCTCTCTCTCTCTCTCTGTCTCTACTTTAAATTTAGTAAGGAGCGAATGGGACTCAGCCAGGCAATGGAGCCACACTGGACAATGCTATTTAAACAGAAGGAGGGTGGTGGGGTGATTTGCCTAGAGGGCGTTCTGTTGTGTCTGGTCCTGCATTTAAGAAGCAAAGAGGAGAAAAGGAGACTCAGTTGCAGGAATGACTCCAAGCAATGGTTGGGGGGTGGAGCATCTCCCCAAATATTGCCTTTTACTGAATTGCTCTTCCACCTTTCATTCATGCCGTACTTTCCTCACTTAAGCAGGTTCTTTTTTGAATATAGGAAGCCTCCTAGTTCTTTTAGGGTCCTAGGAAAATTGCCTAGTAAGTCCATCTAGCTTAGTATTACTTATATTGGCTGGCAGCAGCTGTCCAAGGTTTGTAACTGGGGAGAGGACCTTTTGCTGATGCTTTTTGCTTGCGATTTGCTGTGGCCTCTTTGAAGGAGGCAAATATGCAGATCCCTAGAATGTAGAGGGAGAGAGAGTAAAGTGCTCATAAAAAAACCCATTTATTTGTGAAATGTATTAAACTAGGGAAATGTGTGTATTGGGCAATATCACATACAAAAATAAAGATGTGGCTGTCATGGAGCACAGCTAGAGGGATAACTCATCCTCTGAATATTCAGTGGAGAATAGTTATGTGTAAAAGATGGGTCAGCCATGCAAAAAATAAAGGCCCGATAAACCAATTTATCTCTCTCCCCCGCCCACTCCGGTTACCAGATTTTTTTCAATGAATCCAGAAATACTCTTCAATTTCCTACTAAATAGATGGATTTTGTCAGGGTGCTGATTTGTAAACCGGGGGATTGTCCCCGGAAAATGGGACGTCTGTTACCTGTGCCACACCTCCAATAAGAACTCTTTACCTCTGAGTCGAGAGGCTAAATGACAAGACCCTGAGAATCCAGCTGCCACATTAGCTTTGGGGCTCTGTGCTTCAAACAAACTGCTCTTAAGGACTATACAGGTGGCTTCAGTCTGGTGATCTAAAAGACTGATGGTCTTGTAGGAGGAACATGGGTGGTGGGACTCTGTCACCTTTGGACAAGCGTTTAGCTGAGGGACCAGTCTCAGATGATCAGTAATAACAACCGAACTCTGTTGGTTATCCCAGCATCTGATTGCACTGCTGTTGTTGCTATGGGCTAACAGGTTGGATGCAAGAATGAGAGAAACATCCCACCCTGAATTCTGAAGAGCAGCTTGTTAGTGCAATTCTAGACAGGTCTTCTGAGGAGCAAACTCAACTTATAGTTTGAGCTAGAGATATACAGTGGTACCTCATGTTACATATGCTTCAGGTTACAGACCAGAAAACCAGAGCTACTGCCCTTCCCAAAATTGTTTTGTTCTGCATTTGAAGAAGAGTGGAGCAGAAATGTTTTACGGTGAGCAATCAAGCATAAAATAATGAATCTGCGTAGGAGGCTGAATGACTCTGCACAGTTTGTGTCTGGATCCTCCATTGCCTTGCCTCAGAGTGCTGCTCTGTCCCTTGCACAGTAATACACAGCATTGTCTGCAGCTGTGAGGGATCTCAACAGAAGATAGAATTCATTTTTGGAGGCATCCCTGGTGATACTGATTCTGGAGCTAAACCTGGAACTGTAGTATCCGTTTCCTCCTGCGGCCACACTCTCAATGCTGCCCAACCACTCCAGACTTTTCCCTGGAGTCTGTCGGTTCCAGCCCCAGTACCAGCCACTCACTTCAGCACCGGAGACAGTGCAGGTCAGCTGGAGGGGCTGTCCAGGCTTCACTGCTCCCAGGCCAGACTGGGTCAGATGCACACTGCAGAAGACACCTGAACAAAGCGAGAGAAATTAGTACCACTCCGTGGAGTCTCTCTGGGGTGGCTTCATAGGATTGCATCCTAAGACATCAGTTAATAAAGTTTAGGGAAGGGAAGTCCTCCAATCTCTTCTCCCTTCTTGATCTCTGAAATGCATCATTGGAAGGGAAGCCTTTTGCTCAACGTTGGACTGGGCATTGCGGTCTGCTGAAAGATGGATCCTTGCCAGATATTGGGCAATTCCCCCCCCCCCAAACTCCCTTGCATTATATCACCCATTGTCCATCCTCCCATCCCCAATACTCTAGGGATGGCTTATTTTTTGTTGGTGAAAGAAATTCAATGTCACCATGAATTGTCCTGAAGTTAGTTCATCTTCCCCCCCCCCCAATAATATTTATTGAGAAAAGAATTTTTACACAATAAAAAGACAAAAACAGAAAACAGAAAGAACACAAATAAAAAATACAAAAATCCAAAAAGACAAAAAGACAACAACAAAGGGGAAAAAAATAAAATCATCATTTTCAAAATCTCGACTTTCATTACCTTTTTTCATGACCTCCTCCTCCTCCCATCTCTTGTATCTTGATTAATAATTTTTACACCAAATCCCTTCCATTGTTTCGTAATATTCTGTCATTACATTACTTTACTCAATTTTCATCTTATCTTATAAAAACCTTAAAACCTAAAACTTAAATCCTACATTTACCAACCTCTCATAACCATTACCTTTTTGCATATCTTTTACCATTTTTTACAAAAGCCATATAGTTTCATTTCAACATTTTTTCAACGTTCCTAAACATTCCTAATATTAGAAAGAGAAAAGGAAAAGTCAAAACAATCCAATCATCTTCCAGCGTCCCCTCCCCCCGGTCCCGGGATTGTCAGTCCTTTTTATCTCATTAGTCTGGCTCATTAGCCTGGTAGTCTTATGTCCGAGGCCCTCAAATCTCTTCCATGTCCCTTCCGCAGCTCTTCTTGATATTTTCCTTTCACTCGTGGGTACTCCAGTTGGATGATACTCTTGACCCTTTTCAGCAAAACAGCCCCTTTCCCATAGTCCAAGCTAGACTCCACATGGTTTTTCTTCATGTTCCCTCCAAAATTGGAGGCCCCGACAACTCCAAACCTCTGACGGCCGATTACCAGACTCGGAAAGTCCAAATATCCATGCATAGGGGGGTCAATCCAGCCCCCCATTTCCAAAGCTGCCCAAACTTTATCTTTCCAAATCTGGTTTTTCCCAAGTTCATTTGTCAACTCCAAAGGCTCATTTTCCTGCTGGACCAAAAGTCCCTCCATCTCTGGCACCCAAAACTCTGCAGCATCTTCTTCTTTCATCTGTTCTGTCAGAACACCCTTCTGTTTAAAGTCCTGAGTGGACTCCATATAATTTCCAGTTACCTGTTCAAGTGTTCTGGCCGCTTCTGTCATCAGATCTGTCTTTTGACTTAACTGATCCAATAGGGCATTTATTTTTAAAAAAGCATCCGACAATGCTTCTGAAAACATTGTCCTACAAGGTCACGAATCCTTTCCCACAATGATAATCCTGGCAGCTGCAAGCTCTCTTGTTACAATTTCACCAAGTCCCACTAGGGGGAAAACTTCTGGTTATTCTTTCTTTTAAGAGCAATAGCAACAAAGTTTCTTTCCCCCCCAAAAAAAGATATTTTGTCAAAATTTGTCCCTTTAAAATGCGAAAGGCAACAATGGAATCACAATGTTACTCTTCTTTTAACTATCTGTCAAAAACCTTTGTCTCTGGTCAATGAGCTTCAAAACGTCAGTTCTGACACCCCGCTCCAGGGTCAGGACGGTGGAAAATTACTTTACTTTTAAGCTCACTTCCGCAGGTTTAAACAGTCCAAAAGAAAACCCCCTTCTTCTCCTGCAACCAAAGGGGGATTCAACAATCTTAAATGGTGAAAACCAATCCTCTAAAAATATTTTTTTAGGCTCTAGTGTACTTTGTCTTTGCTTTCTTATGATTACAAGAAAACGGAAGGCTGACTTCCTGTTTAGACCTTCCCGTTCCAGTTCCAAATTAGATTAAATTTCAAGTCCAATTTGTTACTAATCGCCAGTCCTTATTAAAAATTCAGCTCTTCAATGTTTAAGTACTCACGGGTGATTATTTTAGATGCCAAATTGTCCCAGGACAATTCATCTTAGGCTCCAAGTGTTTGGACCCAATTTTGTCCTATGTGTAATTGATCCAGTATAAAATCCTCACCTGGGCAGATACTCAGTAAAAGGAGAAGAAACATCAGAGATCTCATTTCTTTCTCTTCTCACTCACTCACTCACTCACTCAGTCCTCTCTCTTTCTGAATGAATGGAAGGCTGTGGAGCAAGACTGAAGGGCTGTATTTAAAGAGGAGGAACCCGCCCGGCAGATTTGTTTAAAGTGAGCAGAGTGTATGAAACAAGGAGGATAAAAGGAGGCTTTGCTTCTTAGATGGCAACAACACAATTTTAAAGCTGGGGTTTAAAGTTATCGGGCTGTGGGTGTGATGTTCTGAAGGTGTGGGAAAATGTATATTTGTTAGTGGGTTAAAATATTTTATTGATTGCAGGGCCGTTTGGCCATCATTAAAATACAAAATCCAATTAATAATACAATGTGCAAAACATCCTTAACATGAAGCAGATGGAAATAGAAAGACAGTTTCTGAAACAGCTGTACAAACAAGAAGGTTTCAGAATGGTGCCCCAAATACAACAATATTGGGCTGCCTCTTTGGAAATGCCCCTCTGGAGGAGACTGCTTGGTTGATTTGCAGGGAAGGCGTATAATATAGAGATATGCTTGGGAAGCTGACTGCCTGTTTGCTTCTGAGTCCAAATCAAGGTGCTCACAGTCGAAGAGGTGGTATGCCTCTCAACACTAGTTCCTGGAAATCAGAAGTCGGGTGTGCGTGTGTGTTTGTTCTTGTGCTCAAATCCTGCTTGTGGGCTTTCCATAGGCATATTGTTGGCCATTGTGAGAACAGGATATAGGACTATCAGCAAAGGGGTCCCTCACTTCCCTGGAGAATGCAGTCTCTATGGCAGCCCCTAAGTTATGGAATTCCCTCCCAATAGAGGTGCTTCTGCCTTCTTCTCCATTTAGCTTTTGGCAAATGTTGAAGGCGGACCTATTTTCTCTGGCCTTTGACACCAGATATGAGGGTTTTCAGGGCCCACCTTATACCTGCGATTGTGCTTGTAATTGGTTTTAACTGTTTTTAATTTAATTTAATTTAAAAATGGCTTTAATGGTGATGATAGTTTGAAGAGGATAAGCAGAAAGTCCTCACAATTTCAAAGCAGACCTTGCCATCAGTAACAGGAGGGTAAATCTGCTCGATTCAGTCACCTCCATTACTCATTTGTTCCAAACTCAAGTTCCATTTTCCTCATTTCTGCATCAGTCTGATATACGTGTGTTTGTGTGTGTTTACAAAAAATCATGTGCATGTTTCGCGTGAAATCTCCCTGACACAATTCATTGCTGTATGTCATCTTTACCAACATTTGCATTTCATACACACTTTTTCCAGATATATGGAGTTCCATGCCCTTTTTTAAAAATTGGAGAACTGCATTGCAAAATTGGGAGAAATGCAAATTTCAAAGGGTTGCTGTGTCTCAGATTGCATCCTGTTTCAAGAAGTGCAAATAATGTTGATTTGAATCAAAATACAAACTGAACCACACTTCTACCTCATCCCCATCTGCAGGATATAGCTCTCTGTTCCCATGAAATGCTGCCACTTACTGGTCTACATCTGGATGCACAATACTTTGAGCTGAATAAAAGGATCCAATTGTTCAGAGTAATCACATTTTTTCTTCCACTTTCACAGTAAGCACAAGCCTATCAGGTTTCTAAATGAGCCTTGGGAGGCTCAATTTTGTATTTCCCTTTTCTACTCAAGAAGGGTCGGAAGAGAGACTGGTGAGCGGAGTAGCTGTGGTGAGTCCTGAGGGCCACCTAGAGAGGCATGGAGGGCCACATTTAGCTCCTGGGTCTGAGGTTCACCACCCCTGCCTTAATGGGACTCTGGTATAATTGCCTCCAAAAACCAAGAAGGCAAGACTTCAAAGCATTCAAAGGTAAATGTGTTTCTGTATTTGGGAAGAGAGAGAGACAACGTAGGTATGGCATCCTTTGTTGGAACCCAAACATAGCAGTCCCAATAACTAAGAGAATTGATAGCCCATCAGATCTGGGAAGTTCAGAGGTACTGGATTGAGCTGGTACCCAGCTGGGAGAGCACCATTTCCCTCCCAACTCTGCCTTAATGATTCCCTCTCTCTGAGTAGTACACACTAGAGGTTCCATCCCTTATGGTCACTCTGCAACCCGTTATGGAAGCCCTTTACTCTGCACAACCGTTCACTGGTACCAGTGATGCAAAGCAGTTTGTCAGCCTGTGTGTTTGTCAAAGAACTGCCTTCCCACCCCAGACAGTAGAAGGACTCACAATTTCTGATTGGAGAATGAGGCTGAGTGCAACACTTCTCTCATAATAGCCATTTCCTCTTCTCTCCCTGTATGCGAATTTGAACCATACCTGAGTAATGAAACCTGAGAATAAGCAAGTTTTCAATGGCTTTTGTGGGACTCTATGGGACAATGATTGTGTCCTCCATTAACCCTCTTTGCCTGCCACAGTGATGGGATATATTGTTTAGGTTTATGGATGGACGCTTCATTGCTTTACTTCACTGTGTCTCGTGCACAAAAATACACAGCGGTGTCTGCAGCTGTCGGGGAATTCAGCTGAAGATACACTTCATTTCTGGAGGTGTCCCTGGTGACAGAAATCCGACTACTGAATGCTGGGTTATAATAGGTGGTTCCGAGACTTCCGGTCAGCGCCAGCAGCAATGGCTGATCTCCTCTGAACTGCGGAGGGATTGCGACGTGAAAAGTGGGTCCTGTGCGCTACGGCGAAGCGGGGACCCTTAGAAATCGCAGGCGCTGAAGCCTGCGAACGTGGAGACTCAGCGGGCACCTTGGAGCGCCCCCCCAACTCGCGAGGAAGCCTTTTTTTTTTAGGCTTCGGAGCGGAGCGGAGGAGAAGCGCGGTGCTGTGAGTGGACTGCTGCTTTCACGGAGCGAAGCCGTGTTGCCGTTGCTGGAGAGCGCTGACTTATTCCTGGAACAATTGGACTGAAACTTAATCGTGAGTAGTGAAATTGAACTAAAAAGAAGGAGCTTTAATTGGACTGGAACTTCTAAAAGTGAAAGGCTGTATGAAATAAATAACGTTAAAATTGGCTACCGCGGTGGGAAGTCTAAACAGGAAGTCCGCTTCCCCGCTTTGTGAACAGAGTAAAGCATAGAGATTTGGAGCTAAACGTGGGAAATTCGATGTTTAAAAGTGTTTCTTCTGACCTGAGAACTTTGATTGAATCCACCCTTCGGAGGGAAAGGTGAAAGTTTTTGTTTTATTTCTCTCGGACTGCTTAAAGACTTAAAGAGCAATTTGACAGTGAGAAGTCCTAGCTGTCAAATTTTGACAGTGTTTTGACAGTGTTATACATCGGCTGAAATAAGGATATATTGTGGCCAATCTCGCTGGGGAAAACAACTGGAAAAGATACTTTGTGGATTACCCCTTTCTGTTTATTTAGTTTCTCTTTCTCATCACTCAAGAAGAAAAGTAACTGATTTGGTGGTAACAGTGTCCACCTAGTGGGACTATTTGACAGTGCAGTAAAGTATAGTAAAGGAATTTTCCACTGGTAAACAGGAAAAGCTCACTTGGGAAAAGAATTTGACCTTCATATTGTTATGGCAGATGGCCAGAAATCAGACCCGTCAGTTTTGAGATCTGGGAAACAGTGGGGGCATCGAAGGCAATCATCGGCTGGCTTGCCCGCATCAGCAACACAATCTAAGTCTAGTGGAATGTCTGAGGAAATCTTAGCTAACGCTTTGGCTAAGATTAATGAATCTATACAACAACTTAGTACGAAGGTGGACGATATAAATAAGAAAGTGGAAGAATCAAATCAGAAAGTCGACATTGCAAATAAAAAAATAGATTTAAATACAGAAACACTAGGCAACTTGGAGAAAAAGGTAAACAGCAACACAGAATCTATTCAGAGATTACTGCAGGACTCAAAGTCCATACAGGAAAAGACTGCAGCTGTGGAATTTAAATTGGGGCAATTGGAAACTGAGAAGGTACCAGATCTACAGAAAGAGATTGCTGAACATAAGCTGACGCTGTCCATGATTGATCTTGAAGACAAACAAGCCAATCTAAGAATTAGAGCTGTTCCTGAACTTGAGAAAGGCACCTTGACAGACTTTCTGACACAAGAATTTGTGGAATTTTGGAAGGATTTGAAACAAGAGGAGTTCAAGATTGTGAGGGCCTTTAGACTGGGAAAAGGAGGAAGAAAGATTAAAATAAGGGACTGTTTGATTACCTTCAGATCTAAGGAAGAGAGGGACAAAATTTTGGGCCTGCACTATGAGAAACCTTTGACAATTCTACAATCAAAGGTAGAAATTTTTAAAGATATACCGAAACATCTTTTGGACCTAAGACAAGATTTTGGAGATTTGGTGGCCTTGTTGAGAAAAAATAAGATCCTTTTCAGGTGGGAATTTCCTCAAGGCCTATCTTTCAGTTTTAAGGGAAAAAAGATTAAGATAAAATCTGTGGAAGAGAAGAATAAGTTCTTGAGTGCCTTTGAAGAAGATCTACAGAAAGGACTGGGAAAAGATACTGAAGCACTGGAGAAGAGTCTGCAAAAAAAAGTGAAACCAACGCCACCGGCAGATATAGACAAACTTCTTGGGGCTGTTGGAGGAGAAGGAGAGTAAGTACAAAATGACACTACAAGCTTTAAGTTGGAACATTAGAGGTCTTAACTCGTCGGCTAAAAGGGGAAGAGTATTTCATACATTGAAAAAAGAACATTTGGACTTGATTTGTTTACAAGAGACCCATGTGACAAGGCTGCATCGGAAAATTTTGATAAATAAAAGATTGGGAGAAGAATTTATATCATCGGACAATGTTAAAAAAAGAGGAGTAGTATTTTATGCAAAGGAAAGCCTGTCACCAAAATTTATATTTAAAGATGATCAAGGAAGATATATAGCAATTGAAATTCAGTTCCAAGGACAGAAATTTTTGATTGTTGGTGTATATGCACCAAATGAGGGAAAATCAGAATTCTTCAAAAAATTGCATGAAACCCTTTTGGATTATTTGGATTATAACATTATTATGATGGGAGATATGAATGGAGTAGTGTCTACAAATATGGACAAAGCCCAAAGACAAACGGTGACGAAAGATGGAAGACTTCCAAAGACTTTTTTTGAAATGACTGACAATATGGATCTTGTGGATATCTGGAGAATAAAGAACCCCTTGGAAAGAGAAGGAACCTTCTTTTCTGAAGCAAAAATGACTTGGACAAGAATAGACCAAATCTGGATAACTAGAGGACTGGCCCCTAAGATAAAAAAAGCGGTGATTTGCCCGAAAATTTGCTCTGACCATAATCCAGTAAAGATTGAAATGATATTAATGCCAATTGAAGCTTTTAGATGGAGGATGAATGACTCCCTGTTTAGAAATGAGGAGATTATCCAAAAGGCCCAGAAAAACTTGAGAGACTATTTTGAGATAAATATGAATACCATGACTGAAAAGAGAGTGATTTGGGATGCCAGCAAAGCGGTGATGAGAGGATTTTTGATACAACAGAATGCAATTAGGAAAAGACATCAAAATGACAAGAGAGAAAAAATTCTGGAGAAAATTAAGGAAGGAGAAAAAAGATTAAGGGCGAAACCGAACTCACAGGAGATTTTGAAAGAGATAAAGTTATACCAAGTACAATATATGAAATTGATGAATCAGGAGATAGAATGGAAGATCAAACAGATGAAACAAAAAACCTTCGAATCGGCTAATAAATGTGGGAAATTACTGGCGTGGCAAATGAAAAAGAGACAAAAGCTGAATACAATTACGAACTTGGTAGTAGAAGGGAAGAATATACAGAATCCTGGAGAGATTCGGAAGTGCTTTCAGAACTATTTTAAACAACTATATACGCAGGAGACCCAGAAAGAATATGATATTGATCGGTTTCTGAAAATTAATGGATTACAAAAAGTATCTCAAGAGAGTAAATCAATATTAAATTCTACAATATCTGATCAAGAGGTAGAAGGAGCCATTCAGAACATGAAACTGGGCAAATCTCCAGGACCGGATGGTCTAACTGCAAAATACTATAAATCTTTGAAAGAATGGTTATTACAACCGCTGAAAGAAGTCTGCAATGAAATACTACGGGGAGGAAAAGCACCCGAGTCGTGGAAAGATGCATATATTACACTTATACCAAAATCTGAAGTGGAAAAGACACAGTTTAAGAATTACCGTCCCATATCCTTACTTAATGTGGATTACAAAATTTTTGCGGAAATTATGGCTAAAAGATTAAAAAATGTACTGGTGAAAGTAATCCATAAAGACCAGGCGGGCTTTCTCCCGGGGAGACATCTGTCAGACAATACGAGGAATATTATTAATATTCTAGAAAAATTGCAAGTTAATATTAATACCAAAGCGGTTTTAATATTTGTAGATGCAGAGAAAGCCTTTGATAATATCTTTTGGAACTTTATGAAGAAAAATTTGCAGGGTATGGGGGTAGGCCAAAGCTTTGAAAATGGTATAAGTGCAATTTATTCGGAACAAAGAGCTAAGCTCATTGTGAATAATGTGGTTACAGAAGAAATTAAGATAGAGAAAGGAACAAGACAGGGTTGCCCAATCTCCCCTTTACTTTTTATATCGGTTCTGGAGGTTTTGCTCAACATGATTAGAAAAGACCAATTGGTTAAAGGCATACAACTCGGAGCAAAACAGTATAAACTGAAAGCTTTTGCTGATGATTTAGTTTTGACATTACAGGAGCCAGAATCCAGTACAAAAAGAGTATTGCAATTAATTCAAGAGTTTGGTCAAGTGGCAGGTTTTAAATTGAATAAGACGAAAACTAAGGTACTAGAGAAAAATCTTACAGAGATGGAGGAAGAGAGGTTACAGAAGGAGACAGGATTAACAGTGGTTAACAAAGTGAAATATCTAGGGGTACATATGACTGCTAAAAATGTGAATTTGTTTAAAGACAATTATGAAAAATGTTGGTCAGAAGTAAAGAAGGATTTAGAAATATGGTCAAAACTGAAGTTATCATTGTTGGGCCGAATTGCTGTGATAAAGATGAATGTATTGCCTAGAAGGCTGTTTTTGTTTCAAACATTGCAAATTGTGGATAAAATGGACTGCTTCAAGAGGTGGCAAAGAGACATTTCTAAATTTATCTGGCAGGGTAAAAAGCCTAGAATAAAATTTAAGATATTAACAGATGCGAAGGAAAGAGGGGGATTTGCTCTGCCAGATCTTAAACTTTATTATGAATCAGCGGCATTTTGCTGGCTGAAAGATTGGCTACTTCTTGAGAATGCGGACATTCTAGATCTAGAAGGTTTTGACAATGTGTTTGGATGGCATGCATATCTATGGTATGACAAGGTTAAAGCGCATAAGGCCTTCAAGAATCATATTGTCAGGAAAGCTCTGTTTAATGTTTGGGTGAGATATAAGGATTTGCTGGAAAATAAAACACCAAGGTGGCTGTCACCAATGGAGGCCAAGGCGTTGAAAAAAACTAATATGGAGACAAATTGGCCAAAGTATTATGAAATTTTAGAACAAGTTGGAGACAAAATAAAATTGCAGAGTTTTGACAAATTAAAAACTAAAGTTCGAGACTGGCTTCACTATTTCCAAATAAGGGAGGCTTTTAATCTAGATAAAAAGAATGGTTTCCAGGTGGAAAAATCTAAACTGGAAACGGAATTGCTAGAACCTAAAACTAAGAATTTGTCAAGAATGTATAATCTGCTGTTGAAATGGAATACACAGGATGAAATGGTTAAATCAGCTATGATTAAATGGGCACAAGATGTTGGGTATAATATTATGTTTGCTGACTGGGAAAGGTTATGGACCACAGGTATGAAATTTACAGCTTGTAATGCCTTAAGAGAAAATATAATGAAAATGATTTACAGGTGGTACTTAACCCCAGTCAAGCTAGCAAAAATTTATCATCTGCCTGATAATAAATGTTGGAAATGTAAAGAAAATGAAGGTACTTTTTTTCACCTTTGGTGGACGTGCCCAAAGATTAAGGCCTTCTGGGAAATGATTTATAATGAATTAAAAAAGGTATTGAAATATACTTTCTTGAAGAAACCAGAGGCCTTTCTCTTAGGCATGGTCGGCCAATTGGTGCGAAGGGAAGATAGGAATTTTTTTATGTATGCGACAGCAGCAGCAAGAATACTCATTGGGAAATACTGGAAGACGCAAGAATTGCCTACTCGAGAAGAATGGCAGATGAAAGTGATGGACTACATGGAACTGGCTGAGATGACCGGCAGAATCCGAGACCAGGAAGAAGGGTCGATGGAAGAAGACTGGAAAAAATTTAAAATATATCTTCAAAAATTTTGCAATATAAAAGAATGTTAGAAAGAGGTTGGAAGGAATTTTAGGTCGTTTTAGCAGATAAAGATATAATGGGACATTGGACAAAGTAAAAACAAAGTGTAGAAATTGAAGATAGAGGAGGATTAAATTTATTAAGAAATCTTAAAATAAGTAAAGGAAAAGAAGGTTAGAAGGATTTGCTGGAAATACGATCCAAACTAGAACATAAAGTGGGGAGGTGAGAGGAAGTCACGGAAATAAGTAAAAGGGAAAAAGGTTATAAAGGTCTAAATTTGATTTTTGTTACATTTTATGGTATTGTATTTTTCTGTTTTCTGTAATATGTTTTATTTTATTTTCTTAGATGTGTTTTTGTCTTTTTTTTTCCTTTCATCTATTTGTTCTGTTTTTTATCTTTTGCTGTAATTTTAAAACTGGAATAAATATTCTTTAAAAAAAAATATATAATAGGTGGTTCCTCCAGCTGCAGAGCTCCGAATACCACCAATAAACTCCAGGCCTTTCCCTGGAGGCTGTCGGTTCCAGACCCAGTAATAATCACTGACTTGGAAACCAGAGATAGTGCAGGTCAGTTTGAAGGACTCTCCTGGCTTCACCACTCCTGGGCCAGACTCGATTAACTGTGGACTGGAAAGGATGCCTGCAAAACAGAAAGGGCAGATGTTAGACTTCTCATGCGACTTCAGTTTGGGTTGAATTCAAGATTTTTGTTTTTACACTAAGCATAAATGCTCACCAGGTGAGATGCTTAGGAGAATGAGCAAAATTGACAAAGATCTCATATTTCCCCCCCTTAATCACTCAGTCCTTTGTTTATTAGAAACAGGGTGTATGAGTCTCAGTCAGGTCATCAAGCATCATTGAATGGCACTCTTTAAAAAGGAGGAGTGTGCTTGGCATATTTGCATAATGGGAAGTCCATCCAATTCTGTTCTGCATTTAAGGATCAGAAGCTAAAAGGAGGAGCAGTTGACAAGGTTGCCAGATGAATAAACCATAAAGTATTAGTATTAGTAGTGATATTTATATCCTTCCATTCCCCCAGACTGGGACTCAAAGCAGCTTCCACTAAACAAAACAAAACAAAACAAAAAAAATAAAATAAAATACAAAGAGCTAAAAACTCAAAGCAGCTTCCACAGAACAAAACAAAGCAAATAAAATGCAAAAAGCTAAAAACTTATATAAAAGATAATACATAAAAAGTCATCAAACTCTGATAGAACTAAAGCAGCATAAAAACAACGTAGGCATTTAGAAAACCACACATTGAAGTTAAGCAAAAGTCTGAAATTCTCAGATCTCATAGTTGCTTCCTGTAAAACAGTCCCTTTAACTACTACGGATTGACACTTATTGATGTAAAATGGTCGACAGAATTGTCAGCAAATTAATATGCCATTAGATTCAAAGTAATTTATTAAGCTATCTGAAAGGAGTAGACTCTGAGGGTAAAGGAAAAAAAAAATATGGTTCTACATCTCCTGTATGATGTAGGATTCTTTGGAGTGGTGATACCTGAAACTGAGTTTGCTCTGATAAAAGGGAGAAGTGTCTTTATTTATCATTCTGTGCTGCGCTGGTGCCGGTTCGCCGGAGCAGCTTTGTCATGCTGGCCACGTGACCCGGAAGTGTCTGTGGACAGCGCTGGCTCCCAGCCTCTAGAGTGAGATGAGCGCACAACCCTAGAGTCTGTCAAGACTGGCCCGTACAGGCAGGGGTACCTTTCCCTTTATAGTAGCAAACTCAGGCGGCGGTGAGCCCTGTCATCCTGAAGGAGAAATAGGGCAATCCAAAAATAAGGTATTGGCCTGTATGTACTTGGGAGATTCTTTAGATAAGCAGAAGTGTGGACGTTTGTAAAATAATAATAATAATAAAAAAGAACCAAAACATGGAGCTGTGAGGCTTGCATCTAGTATGTATGTTAGTGTACGAGTTAGAAATTTATTTCTCCCCAGGAGAGGGCTCCCAAGTCCTGAAAGGAGAATGACTGACTGTCGCACCTCATCATATCCTCCAAGTGTCCCAGTTTTCCAGGGACAGTCCTGAAATTACAGGTGCCATCCTGGTTTCTGATTTCATCCCAGAGTGTCCCGCTTTCCCTTTTTTCCTCCCCTAAATGTTTCGGAGAACAATTAAATGTGGTATGTTTATGTAGGTGCAAAAAAAGAGTCCTGCTTAGATGGAAAATAAAATCCCTGGACCAAATGAAGGAAATGGTGAAGCTGCCATGCAAAGTCCATTTTGAATGATAACGTCACCAAGTGTCAAGGAGAAGTTTCCTGACGTAGAATAAGATGTTTCCATCTGAGAAATGTTGGAGGCTGTGTCTTCATTGCAGATCTTCTGCTTTCCCCCCTGCTCCTCTTGGAGACCCCCGTATTGAGTCACAAGTGTGGGCAGTCACCATTCCGTCGTTTGATAGCAACACTGAATTCACTCCCTCAAGAGGCAGTGATGGCTAACAGTTTGCATGGCTAGGCCATCATCAGGCCAGATGTCAGACAGCGATGTTCAAGGCCATGTTAAGGGAGAATGTACATATTTTGTCTGGGATGAAGCAGGATCTGTTTTTCTCAGCAAAGTGTTACTCAAGAAGTATCAGAAGGAAACACTTCCTCCTTTTTGTACAGGCCTCTGCTTCAGTCTGTCCCACTGTGCCTGTTGCACAGTAATACATGGCTGTGTCTGCAGCTGTCACAGAGCTCAGTCTCAGAAAGTACTTGGTTTGGGAAGAATCCACAGAGATGGTGATTCGGTTTTGGAATGATGCAGCGTAGTACGATCTTGCAGTCCACCCTCCCATCCATTCGAGCCCTTTCCCAGGGCTCTGTCGTACCCAGATCCACCAATAGCTGCTTGTCACAGAGCGCCCAGTGACCGTACATGTCAGCTCAAGGGTCTCTCCTGGTCTCACTGTTCCTTGTCCAGATTCCTTCAATGTGACCTGGGAGAAAACACCTGAAGGGATTGGGAGAAGCAAGGAAAACCAGAGTTAGGCAGGGTCCCCCCTCCAGGCTTGAAAAGCTACTTCGTAAGCAGCCACACCATGGCTCCATTAATCCAAAGTACACAGATCATGTTAACATTATACAATTAAGATTCAGGACTATAATCCTGGGTGTAAGGGACAGTGAGCATTTGGGGAGATACCTACCTGGGAGCAGCATGAGGAGGAAAAGGGGGACATAGAGCAATGCCATTTTTATCCTAAGAAGTGAAAAAATAATAACAGGTCATTTAAAAAAAAATCACTGGAACTAAGTCAGCTCTTCTTCTGAGCTGCAGTGAAGATGAAAGACTCAGGACGCAACTATTTGAATTTAGGAGCAGTGAGCAAATTTGCATAATGTAAAACACTCAGAGAAATGCACACATTGGTAAATAGGCTCTCTGAAAGGCCATAAAGCAGGAGCATCATTTGGAGTCAGACGGTTTTAGCATCTGTTCTTTCCCATGTTGCTATAAGAGTGTTGGGAGGAAGAAATTCAAATATATAACTCATTTCAATAGAATATTGTACCCCAAGGAGTGGGATGGAACCATACAGAAATGATAGAATCACCCTCCAGAGGGTGAAGGAGAAGGCACAGACCAGGTGGTCCTGCCACATAAAGTCCAAACAACTGGTCTTTTTGCTGATGCTCTTTGCTTGTGATTTGCTATGGCCTCTGGAAGGAGGCAAAAATGCAGATCCCTAGAATGGGGAGGGGGAGAGGGTAAAGTGTGCATAAGAATACATTTATTTGTGAAATGTATTAAACTAGGGAAATATGTGTATTGGGCAATATCACATACAAAAAGAATGATGAGGCTATCTTGCTCAGCTAAGAGGGATTACTCATCCTCAGAACTATCTGTGGAGAGTAGTTATGCATAAAGGATGGCTCAGCCGTGAAAAAAATAAAGGTCAAATGAACCAATTTATCTCTTCCCCCCTCACCCCCAATAAAGAACTTCAGTTCTTCTGTGAGAGAGGTTACATGCAAGATCTGAAATCCAGCTGCCCTCTTAGCTTTGGGGCTCTTTGTATCAAACACTCTTGTGGGACTTTGCAGGTGGTTGCAAGTCTGGTGATTTAAGAGGCTGTGGTTTTATGTAGGAAGGAACACGGGGTGGTGGGTGAATCTGCTGCCACCTTTTGGACAAGGGGGATTTGGCTGAGGGCCAGTCTCAGATGATCAGTAATAACAACCGAACTCCTTTGGTTGTCCCAGCATCTGATTGCACTGCTGTTGTTATTATGGACTAACAGGCCTGATGCTAGAATGAGAGAAACATCCCACCCTGAATTCTGAAGAGCAGCTTGTTAGTGCAATTCTAGACAGGTCTTCTGAGGAGCAAACTCCATTGATAGATTGAGACAGCTATATATCAACATCAGGCCTTAAAGTGGGTTCATCATCCCCATTCACTCCATATTTTTTCCAGAGTGGGAACTGTACCTACAGAGAAGCAAACCCCATTGAGTTGCATATCTTTTTTTTTTTTCATTATGAGGAAGATCACGTTTATTGAAGCATTGCATATGCTCTGTCTGTTTTCTTCTCTTCTGTTCTCTTTTTAAAAAAAAGATATTTATTAAGATTTTCAAAATATTACAAAATAAAAATAGAGAAAAGAAAAATACAAAATAAAAATAATTAAAAACAACTCAATCTTTCCATTACTTATTTTTCATTAGCTTGTTTCCCGGACCTCCTCACGCCTCCCTTTTTTGTATTCCAATTCAGTTTGTTGGTTCAGCAAATCCTTCCCCTTTTTGTTTATCCTAATCTTTAATCTTAAAATATTGTAGCATTAAATCTTTACCTATTAGTAATCCATTTTTCATATTCCCTTATAGTATTGCAGCTAAAAACCACTTAGTTTCTATCCAACATCGTTCTAACATTCATTAATTTTACAATATTTCTGTCTTTAAATTTCTTCCAATCTTCTTCCACCGACTCATCTCCCTGGTCTCGGATTCTGCCAGTCATTTCCGCCAGTTCCATATAGTCAGTCACCTTCATCTGCCATTCTTCCAGAGTGGGTAGATCTTATGTCTTCCAATACTTTGCAATGAGTGTTCTTGCTGCTGTTGTGGCATACATAAAAAAAGTTCTATCCTTCTTTGACACCAATTGGCCGACTATGCCCAGGAGAAAGGCCTCTGGTTTCTTCAAGAAGGTATATTAAATACCTTTTTCAATTCATTATAGATCATCTCCCAGAAAGCCTTAATCCTTGGGCACGTCCACCAAAGGTGAAAGAATGTACCTTCAGTTTCTTTACATTTCCAACATTTATTATCGGGCAGATGATAGATTTTTGCAAGCTTGACTGGGGTCATGTACCACCTGTATATCATTTTCATAATATTCTCTCTTAAGGCATTGCATGCCGTAAACTTCATACCTGTGGTCCATAACTGTTCCCAGTCAGCCATCATTATGTTATGTCCAACATCTTGTGCCCATTTAATCATAGCAGATTTCACGGTTTCATCCTGAGTATTCCATTTCAACAGCAAGTTATACATCTTTGACAAAATCTTAGTTTTGGGTTCTAACAGTTCTGTTTCTAATTTTGATTTTTCCACCTGGAAGCCGATTTTCTTATCCAAATTGTATGCCTCCATTATCTGATAATAATGAAGCCAGTCTCGCACTTTGTTTTTAATTTCTCAAAACTCTGCAGTTTCAGTCTATCTCCATCTTGTTCCAAAAGAGTTGCATATCACCTCAAGGTTCTTGAAGTGGCTTTCTATTTTCTAACCACTTCCCCCTTTTTGTGCCAGCCTCTGCTTCAGTTCCTCCTACTGTGTATCTCGCACAGTAATACACAGCGTTGTCTGCAGCGGTCACAGAGCTCAATCTGAGAAAGTACTTGGTTCGGGGAGGATCCACAGAGATGGTGATTCGGTTGCGTAAAGATGGAGCATACATTGTGGTCCCAACCCAGTACCCCATGCATTCGATCCCTTTCCCAGGTCTCATCCGTACCCAGTCCCACCGGACTGTTCGAAAAGTAATCAAACAGTCTCTCACCTTTTTCTTGCTTTGTCTTCTTCCAAGTCTAAATGCATTCACTATCTTAAATTCTTCCTTCCCCAAATCCGGTTGCCAAAAATTTATGAATTCCTGTGTAAGAAAATCGGCCAGGTTATCTTCCTCCCGTTCTGGTACGGCCCTGATTCTTAAATTTCTTTGTCTGTCTTTCAATTCAATCATGGAGAATGTCACATCATGGTCCTCCAATTTCTTATATACTGGTGGAATCTTCTCTTGAGTAGCAGTTGCAATGTCTTTTGCCTCCTCAGCTGTCTTTCGAGTCGAGGCAGATTCCTGTAGTAATTTTTCGATGGTCTCTGTGTTGGTATTCACCTTCTGCCCCAAGATATTAATACTTGCAGTATTTAAATCAATTTTGCTTGATGCTTCCACGACTTGTTTATTTGTCTCAGCTACTTGTCTGTTTGTCTCAGCTACCTGTTTATTTAAACTTTCCAAAGATTCATTAATTTTTGCCAGTGCCTGTGCCAAAACTTCTTCCGACGACATAACTTTTGGTTTAACCTGTGGGAGTACGGCCCCTGATGTTCCAGTTACTCCAGATGTTGAACCCCTTCGCGGCTGCGCAGTGTCTATCCGATAATGTCTGCCAGACCTAGTAGTTTTTTTCCTGCGACTCTATCTTCCCTTTCCCATCTGCCATAACATCTCATAGAAATTCAAGGTCGCTCCCACAGTTAGACAATTGTTTTGGAGTAGAATGGAATTTTCCTCTAAGCCAGTTGTTATTGTAACAGTGTCCAGCTTCCTCTAGGGGGACACAGTAACAGCCAGAACTTACAACTTTTGAGAACAAAAATAGTCTTTATAAGTCCCCCAATTTACTTTAAAAACAGCAGTCTCAGTGCACTTAAACAGTTACTTTCAAGCCAGGAGAAGTCCAGATACACTGTATCCCTTTTGCAGAGTTAGCTGTCAAAAATAAACTTTCCACTGTGCGACCCTTGTCTCAAGGCAGCCCGTTCCAGGTTTTAAACAATAAATTTTAGCTTCCTTTTCCCTCTTATTTTTTGCAGGTAAATTCAGCTCAGTCATTTCCCCCTCCTCTTCTGCAATCCGGAGGGGGGACCACTTTCCCAATGTTAAGATTTAGCTCTTTTTCAAGCAACTTTCAATGTTTCCGCTTTAGAGTCTCTTTGCTTTGATCTATTTACAATGAAAGGAAGGCAGACTTCCTGGTTGTACCTTCCCGTTCAGTACCAAATTAGACGTTTTCCCTTTTGAATCCAATTTAATCCTACTCACGGGTAGTTGTTTTCAATGTCCAATTGTCCCAGGAAAAAGGCAGCGCTCTCCGGTAACAGCTTCGCGGCTTCGCTCCACGGAAGAAGCAATTGGCTCACAGCACCACGCCACCCCCGCTCCGCTCCGGAGCCCGTTGCCGAGCTCCTTTTGCAATTGGGGGGGCGCAAACGGTGCCCGCTGAGTCCCACGGTCACAGGCTTCACCCGCCTGTGATTTTTGGAGGGTCTCCGCTACGCCGTAGTGGTACAGACCCAATTTCCGTAGAGCCGTTCCGTCCGAATCAGAGGGAAGCAGCCATTACCGATGGCGCCACCCCGGAAGTCCCCAGAAGTCTCCCCATCTGACCCTAGGCGGGAAAGAGCTGGTCTTCCCTGGTTGCTCTTTCAGAAAGAGGTGACTACATAAATTAAATACTTTCCGTTGCAGAAGTTTTGCATGTGAATAGGAAAGCCAACACACAGACTTGGCCAAAGGCATTGTGGTATTTACTGTGCTCTTCTTTCTGATGATGGCTCCTCTGCAGGCAATACCAAGGAAGCCCTGGGCCTAGTTGTCTACCATCACTCAACTAACCCAACTCTACAGTTTGCTGGGCCTTAGAATGGCCTCCTTCATCTCTTCTGTTCTTCAGCTGCTGGACAGCTCCTCCCAACCTCACGCAGGGCTGATCCACATCCACTGCACAGGCAACACTAATTTAAAACATACCACTTCCCCCAAAGGTTCATGGGAACTATAGTAGCTACAATTTTCAGCAAACTACAGTTCCCAAGATTCTTTGAGGGAAGTCATGCGTCTTAGATATGCCTTAGATATGCTTTGTGCTTTGCTGTGCTGGAGGGAGGATGAGGGGAAGGGAAGCATTGTCAGTATAAGGGTTTGGTTTTTTTGTAATTAACATATATGCTGTAAGTATATGTTTCATGAAGTTTAATAAAAATAATAAACACCCCTCACAAAACACCAATAGGATTGAGTCTTGCATGTACTATACTTAAGTGAGCCAGCGTGGTGTAGTGGTTAAGAGCGGTGGACTCGTAATCTGGTGAACCGGGTTTGATTCCCCCTCCTCCACATGCAGCTGCTGGGTTACCTTGGGCCAGTCACACTTCTCTGAAGTCTCTCAGCCTCACTCACCTCACAGAGTGTTTGGGGGAGGAAGGGAAAGGAGGTTGTTAGCCACTTTGAGACTCCTTAGGTTAGTGATAAAGCGGGATATCAAATCCAAACTCCTCCTCCTCCTCCTCCTCCTCCTCCTCCTCCTCCTCCTCTTCTTCTTCTTCTTCAGTGAGCCCCTTGTACATTTTACTTATGAGGTTGTACACCTTCCTGTTCACCAGAAAAATGGCAAATTCTGCAATACGGAAATACGGATTATTTTGCAAATTCTGCAGCACGGAAGTTCATTATGCATACTGAGGGAGTAAGCATGCATTCATTTGTATGGCTTATGATTAAGCTGGGCTTTGAATTGTCTTCACTTCAAGGCGTGTGTAGAATTTTGCAGTAAGGATTTAGCAATACTCCTGTGTCATTTTTAAATTATCATGACGAAAACCAAGTTGCTAGCCAAACTGTGGTGGTGGCTTTCACAGGAAGAATGGTATATCCCAACAGAACAGAGTCTGAGGGCCCACGGTAGCTTTGCACCACAGAGGAAACTAGTAGTATTATGCAAAATTGGTAAATTTGCCTTTGGTGTGAACTGAATCCTCCTACCTTTATAACAAAGATTTATATGTAGCTAACAAAGCAAAATGACCCAAAGGCAGATGGTGAAAACTGATAGACAGAAGTCGAGTTCTCCCAGATAGTTCAGATGCTGCTCCTAAATTCTGTTGCTCTAATCATACAAAGAGGAAAGTCACCTCATGGTTCCTTTTCCACCTAAAACAAATTGAATCCCCCCCCCTCCATATTTCTATTTATCAAGCCTTCTTCAGTGGGCAGCATTGCGGGCGGGCCCTGGGGTCTCACCTGTAAACCAGCAAATGGCAGGCTGGATCATATGCCTGCCATCTCCAATCATGGTGGGGCTGTGAGGGTGTGTATCTGGGTGTGGGAACAACTGCCCAATGGTGGCACTTGGCTCCACACCCAGGGCCAGGATAAATTCCAGCTCTCCCTGGTCATTCGGCCTCCTTTTGTTTGGCAAGGCCCAACTGAGCTGATTTTCAAGAACTCATAGGGTGAAAGTGCCTCCCTGTTTCTCCGTCTACTAAATAGTTATCCTGGTAATTATATATTTAATTGGTCTCATCCCATCTGCCCTATCATCCTCATGGGTCTTTACCAGCTTCCTCCTTTAATAGTATGGGCGGAAACAGGAATCACATGGGCTTCCTGTCTGAGAATAAATTTGGATGCAGAGAGCGAAGAGAATACTGCAGAGTCAAGAGGAACTCATGTCAAGATGGATAAGTAGATGAACAGAAAGTGTATTTGGATTGCTGATCATCTGAATATACTAGAATTCCTCCTGATTTTGAAGACCACTGTTGTTTTGTTTTGTTTTTAATAGACAATTTGGCATCTGCACCTTGGTGTTTTTTATGAATCGCCTTGATTGAAAAGGTTTTGGATTGAGAGAGAACCACATTAATTTGCCCCTGGAGAACTTCAGAGCCATCAGCAGGTGAGCTGAGTTGTCCTTACTGTCCTGCTGCCTTCCTGACCCTCACTGATTTTTCTGTATGAGCTGAACTATTGCTCCTTCAACTCCCTACTGATTCTCTAAGATATGTGTTAGGGATAAGTACCTATATGGGATGTAAATATGCTTATTCAAATTACATCCAAGAGTTGGACAGCAATGTTCATTCTCTCTCTCTCTCTCTCTCTCTCTCTCTCTCTCTTAGTACAATACTTGACCCTCCAGATGTGGAAAATCATGTAGCTAAATAAAAATGTTCATGTGTGTATTTAAGAAGCGGGACAGCGAAAAACATTTGCTTGGCCCACTTTGATTCCAGACAAGCAGTTGCTTTGCAGATGTACAATCAACATATTATAATGTCATAGAATCATAGGACTGTAGAGTTGGAAGGGACCCCAAGGGTCATCTAGCCCAACCCCATGTGAATTGCTACCGCTTCCTTGTCTTTTCTTTGTGAGCATGGATGATTTTACTAGGGTGCGTGTTACAATGCTACTCCCAGGATCCACAGTGATGTATTCCTTTACAAAAAGACATTGACTGTGAAATTGAAATCATGAGGGATACCATGTAAGCCTCCACTCCAAATATTGATGGAGCACTCTTCAGAAATTTGGAGAGGATATGGCATGTTTCTTCTCACAAAAGAATTAGATTAATACAATGTGAATTTATTTAAGTATGTGATCTCAATATGCAATCTATGAATGTGGGACTGTACATGTTGTTACTCTCTGGTACCCAGCATTGTTCCTCATTGCTCTATATTTTCTCCCCAGCATCAACCTAGGGAAGGCAATGGGATCTCTTCTGATGCAATGGGATCTCTTCTGGTATTTTTCATCTGGTCACTTTCTAATTTTAAGTATTTCTTATAAATTTCATTGTTACAAAACAACAACCCAGCATTGGTGGGTTTGATAAATCAATGAATGCAATTCTCCTTGGTCTACTGGATGAATACTGGAGTTTTAGGCTTGAATGGTGTCATTGTCAGGCATCCCCAAACTCAGCTCTCCAGATGTTTTGGGACTACAATCCCCATCATCCCTGACTACTGGTCCTGTTAGCTAGGGATGATGGGAGTTGTAGTCCTGAGTTTGGGGATGCCTGGTCATTGTGGTAGTTCCTGTAGCCATGACACACTCTTTATCCCAGGCAGATGTTGGTGGATTTCAATCCCCATCATTTCCTAGCCATGCTGGCTGGTGCTGATTGGAACTGCAATCCAGAAACATCTGGAGGGCTGCATTGGACAGAATCCACGCCCCCGGGTTCCTTTAACAGGATACCCTTAAAGAGGAAGGGCAGGCGGAGGCTACAACCTCCCCTCCATCCAAACAAAGGCTTACCCAATGCCTAACCTCACAAACTTGTGACCATAGATTCAAGGTAGGCAAAAACCAAATTGCTGGAGCCAATCTGCCAAGTAGAAAAAAATCCCAAAAATATGATGACCAACATTAGCCCATAGACAGGTCGTTGCACAGCAAAGCAGAAGAAGAGGCAAGGGATGGGAGATCTGGTGAAGGGTGTGAGAGGACAATCTCCCCGCCACACCATGGTTTAAATTTCCTGTGGCCCTGCCCCCCATCAGTGCTGATTGGTCACCAGGGGGCACCCCTTGAGCGGGGCCCTGCCCAGCACTGATGGTGTGGACAAGCAGTGGTGGGGAAGGCATCAGTCTCCATCCCTGGGCCAGATCACTGGGAGGGCCCGGGGCTCAGGACCCAGCCGCAACGCTGCCCACCGAATCAGGTGAGTGGACCTATCAAACCATCTGATGGAACATGACTTCATAGTTCTTCATCTATATTGGATGTGTGTCTTCAATGACTTCAATGGAATTTGACTTCGTTGCATGCCATCATGAAGGCATTTTGCTGGTATTTACACAAAGACAAATGCTTTAATCAACTTGACAGTTAGCTCCATCTATTGGAGACAGATAGCCAGCAGTTCCTGAGCAGGTGGTTGAGACTGATTGTGGTTTTTGTACAGATGCTTGATTGCTCTGGCTCACTGTGCAGCGCACAGTAGTATACTGCTGTGTCTGCAGTTTCCAGGGACCTCAACTGAAGATATACTTCATTTTTGGAGGTGTCCCTGGTGATGCTGATTCGACTTCCAAATGTTGGGCTGTATGTGGTGCCAGCACCATCTTCTGTGTTCTCAATCTCCCCCATCCATTTCAGACCCTTCCCTGGAGGCTGCCGGATCCAACTCCAATAATAATCACCAACTTGAACCCCAGAAACTGCACAGGTCAGCTTGAAGGAGTCTCCGGGCTTCACCAGTCCTGGACCAGACTCAATTATCTGTAGAGTGGAATACGTACCTACAAAAGAATGTAGAAGTTGTGTCATAATCGGGAACCTCTTTGTGTTCTACTCAACATTTTGGTTTTATACAAAGGATAAATCCTCACCAGGAGAGCAGCTCAGGAGGATGAAAAAAAGCAATGGGAAACTCATCTTTCTTTCTTTCTTTCTTTCTTTCTTTCTTTCTTTCTTTCTTTCTTTCTTTCTTTCTTTCTTTCTTTGTACAAAACAAAAAGGGACTCAGCCAGGTCACGGAGCAGTGCTGGATGGTGCTATTTAAACACAAAGGGCCTGGTCAGGTGATTTGCATAGAGGATGTTCAGTCGCATCTGGTCCTGCACTTAAGAAGCAGAGCGGATGAGATGAGACCTGCTTACCGGAATGACTCCAGTCAAGGTGTCGTGGGGCTGGGGGAGACACTCCCCAGTTTTTGCCTTCTACCCTAATTGCAGCTTTCATTCACAGTACATCGTACCTTGCACCCCTAATGATGTTCTTTTTAGGAGCATAGGGAGCAGCCTTATACCTTGTAAGACCAATGTCCTTCTATCCCAGTATTTCATTGCTGGCTTGTGTGACAGAGCTCCTATTGATGCCATTCACCCTCCTGTGCCCTTAAGGCAGTATCATTCCAGTACATTTGGGGGTGGGCAGACAGGATGGCTGCTGCAACAAGGTAAGAATAGTGAGGTTCTTCCCACTGCAGGGCTCTATAGCAGTTGTTGTCATTATTATTTTCATTATTATGATATATACTCAAGGCAGCTTACAAACAAGAACCACTAAATACATCAAGAAATCAAACCTTAAAATACAATTGAACATTGATACAATTTAAACCAGAGCTACCTCCAAACTCGGCTCTCCAGCTGTTTTGGGACTACAACTCCCATCATCCCTAGCTAACAGGACCAGTGATCAGGGATGATGGGAATTGTAGTCCCAAAACAGCTGGCAGGCCGAGTTTGGGGATGCCTGATTTAAACTATGTACATACAGGCAACACACCCCCCTTGCACACATTCAACATGTGTGCTACCATGCACATGTGCATCAAGCTGAACGCAGAAGTGACCTGAAAATGCCACAAAAAGTGGCGGAATGGGGCAGGACGGGGGTGGAATGGGGTGTTTGCAATGGTGCTTTTTCAGTGGTGTTTCAAGGATACACAATTTCACTGATGCATGTGATGCCTTGGAACGTAACCCCCATGTAAATGGGAGATTGCCTGTATATGAAATCTGTTTAAAACATACTGATAATTACAATAAAAATGGCAGTATGCCAGCCCTTTCCACTGCAGCTGCAGTAAGCTCAACCCCCCACAAACCATCAAAGGCTTTTCTTCTCCTCAAATCGTTTGGCTCACATCGGATTTCAAGGCGGGGCGAGTGACCTTGCACTTGGGTTGTTCTTTCAGGCTTCCCATTAGGGCATCTGGCTTGCCACTGTCAGAGGCTGAACTAGATGGCAGTGGCGTAGCGTGGGGGGTGCAGGGGGGGCGGCCGCACCGGGCGCAACATCTGGGGGGCGCGCGCTCGCACTCGCAGCTCTCTGCCCCTACCTGGCTCACTCACTCTCTCTCACTGCAGTGCTGGCTGTGCGAATCCGATCCGAGCCGCTGGGTCGCCGCCCACTGTGGAGGGGTGGGTGCCAGGCGTGCGGTGCGGAGAGAGAGCGAGGGACTATCTGGGGGAGGAACAGTGCAGCGGCCGCCCAGCGCAGCGCTGAGCGCGGGAGAGAACCACACCAGACCAGCCCAGGCAGCAGCAAGAAGAAGCTGGCAGCGGCGGCAGGTTAGGGGTTAGGGGGCGCAAATTACTTGCCTTGCCCTGGGTTAGGGGGAGCAAATTACTTGCCTTGCCCCGGGTGCTGACAACCCACGCTACGCCGCTGCTAGATGGACCTTTGGCATGATCCAAATTTTAAAGGTGGTTTTGCTGTGCTTTGTCTTGTTCACGGTTACAAAGCTGCGTGACTTTTTTGGATGTATCTGTGACTTCGAGATTAAAACGCAGTTGAATATAAATAAGGATGACAGTGCAACTCAGAATCACTTGGTACAATCAGTCGGTTGGTTGAAAAGGAAGATAATGGGTAACTCAAAGTCAATACTCTCCCTTTAATCACAACCTGTTTAAGAATAGAAATAATGTTCACCAATTTCCAGTACTGAGCCAGTTTAATGCAGCATTCAACTCAATGAGAAGTTTTGAAATGAATTTTTAACTTGGCAAAACATATAATCCCCAGCACCAGCATTGAGGACACAAGCCATTTATTCAACCCTCTATGGATGAACATTCCGCTTACAGATTTTAACTGAAGACCCTTTACTGTCATTTTTCTGTTCTCCAATGCTCCACAGATACTGGGTCTCCTTCAGATGTGAGCTGGGATTTAGAGCTGGGCCTCCCACACCCATCAAAGGGGCTTAACTCAATGTGACTTGAAGCATTGAAGTCTATGGACATGAATATCACCGTTAATGTTTCGCCCGCTTTTCTTAGGCAGTTCTCTTTCTCTGTCCCCGACTGCTAACCCGGGATGGGAGGAAACACCTGGGAGAGGGAGGGTGGGGAGAATAGAATATGGCATAGGTGTGTTTAAACTGAGGTGCTTTTCTTTTAAGCAGAACCAGGTATCCATAGTATATCACTTTCATGTCACTGTTTTCTAACCACTCCCACCTTTTTGTACAGGCCTCTGCTTCACTCTGCCCCAATGTGTCTGACTGTTGTACAGTAATGCATGGCTGTGTCTGTAGTTGTCACAGAGCTCAGTCTCAGAAATGACTTGGTTTGTGAAGAATCCACAGAGATGGCGATGGAGCATAGTATGAGCTTGCAGTCCACCCTCCCATCCATTCGAGCTCTTTCCCGGGGGGTCTGTCGTATCCAGTGCCACCAGTAGCTGCTTGTCCCGGGGACAAGTGTGCAGATTCACCCCCCCTTTGAATAAAGAGCTGCAGTCCTTATGTGAAAGTCATTACATGTAAGGCCAGGGAGCTCGTAGCTTTGAGTCTCCTTGCCTCCAAGAACCTCTTTTGTGAGACTTTGCAGGTGGTTGTCAGTCTGGCGATTTGAGAGATTGTTGTTTGCTTTGGAAAGGGTTGTCTCTGCTGCCACCTGCTAGACAAGGAGAATATAGCTGAGGGCTGGTCTGAGAGGTCATAAAAGTGATTTATTTCATATGGTTATTTAAGCATGGGTGACACTGTCATCATAATTGAGCCTAAGATGTGAGAGGCAATCACTTTTAATAACATTTAAAGTGGGAGCTGACTCCATAAAAGTCAAAAAGACACCTAAGCCAATCCAAGCACATCGTACCCTCAACGCTTCTCAGAATTTCTGCTGTCCAAAGAAAGTGGTTGAAGCATTTTGCCCTCAAAGGGGGTGCAGATATTCAGCACAAATTTAGCTGGATTCAGTGGATGTCTGCTGGTGACAGGGATCTATCAGTTCCTGTGCAAGGGGTTGAGTCTGAGGGTGGATCTTGCAGGGATGCTTCCTTCTTTGGTTCACTGTGTCTCTCGCCTCGCACAGCAAAATACACTGCTGTGTCTGCAGCTGTTGGGGAGCTCAGTTGGAGATACACTTCATTTCTGGAGATGTCCCTGGAGATGCTGACTCGACTTCTCAGTGCTGAATTGATCTCAGTGGTTCCTCCATTTGCAGTGTTGCGAATGAATGCTATCCATTCCAGCCCTTTCCCTAGAGGCTGCCGGATCCAGTTCCAGTAATAATCACTGACTTGAACCCCAGAATCTCCGCAGGTCAGTTTGAAGGACTCTCCAGGTTTCACTAGTCCTGGACCAGACTCAACTATCTGTGGAGTGGAGCAGATACCTACAAAAGAATGCAGAAACTGTGTCATAATCGGGAATCTTTTTCCATTGGGTTCAACATTTTTGTTTTATTCCAAAGAATAAATCCTCACCAGGGGAGATGCTTAGGACAATGAGGAAAAGCAACATGAAACTCATATGTCCTTCCTTCCTTCCTTCCTTCCTTCCTTCCTTCCTTCCTTCCTTCCTTCCTCCCTTCCTCCCTCTCCCTCTCCCTCTCCCTCTCTCTCTCTCTCTCTCTCTGTCTCTGTCTCTCTCTCTCTCTTTAGTAAGGAGTGAATGGGACTCAGCCAGGCCAGGGTGTCACACTGGGCAATCCTATTTAAACAGAAGGAGGCTGGTGGGGTGATTTGCCTAGAAGGCGTTCTGTCGTGTCTGGTCCTGCATTTAAGAAGCAAAGAGGAGCAAAGGAGACTCAGTTGCAAGAATGTCTCCAAGCGATGGATTGGGTGGGTGGGTAGGGGCTCCCCCAAATTTTGCCTTTTACCGAATTGCTCTTCCGCCATTCATTCATGGCAGACGTTCCTCACTTAAGCAAATTCTTTTATGAATATAGGAAGCCACCTACGAGTTCTTTTAGGAGGATCAGAAAATTGCCTAGTAAGTCCATCTGCCATCGCTTCCACTGACTGGCAGGCAGCTCTCCAAGATTTCTCTCCAAGGAGAGGACCCCCCCACCCCCCAAAATATTGTCTTCTATCTTAATTGCTCTTCCAGCTTTCATTCATGGTGCACTGTATTTATCCTACCTACGGACATTCTTTTAGGAGCATAGGAAACCTCTGTATGCCTAGTAAGAACACTATCTAGTTCAGTGTTGTCTACACTGACTGGCAGGAGCTCTCCAGGGTTGCAAACTGCAATCTCTCCCAGGGATTGAATGTGGGACTTTCTGTGCACTAAGCTCTACCAGTCAGCCGCAGCCCTTTGCTCCATCAAGTAGATATTTCTGAATCAAACAATCGACGCTTACTGGGTTTCTGGACTGAATGAAAATGGTCTCGCTTAATCACTCTTTCGCCCACTTTCACTGGGTTTGCATTTTGTGCTGCAGGCTGTTATCACTGTCTAAAAAGGCAGTTCCCCCCCTAAGCCTTGAGTTGTGTCTCATGCACTCATCAATGGCTCTCATGGAGCTTAGCATCTCCATGATCTTAGCGGCTGATTTTGTGATTGAACGCATGGAGTTCTACAGCATGAGAACCTCCCCCTTTATCCTGCTTTTCTTTTCTTAATGCAATTCTCCTTCCTCGCCGCAGTTTGTGTCACCTTGGGATGTGGAGAGAAAGGGGCACAGCTTCAGTGATTTCAAAATGATGTGGTTTCTTTTAAGCAGAAGTGAGAATCTATCGTACATCGCTTTCTATTTTCTAACCACTTCCTCCTTTTTGTACAGGCCTCTGCTACGATTTGTCCCACTGTGCCTGATGCACAGTAATACATGGCTGTGTCTGCAGCTGTCACAGAGCTCAACCTCAGAAAGTACTTGGTTTGGGAAGAATCCACAGAGATGGTGATTCGGCCGCTGAGAGATGCTGCATAGTATGTGCTCCCACTCCATGCTCCCATCCATTCAAGCCCTTTCCCAGAGCTCTGTCGTACCCAGTTCCACCAGTAGCTGCTTGTCACAGAGCGCCCAGTGACTGTACAGGTCAGCTGGAGGGTCTCTCCTGGTCTCACTGTTCCTTGTCCAGATTCCTTCAATGTGACCTGTGAGAAAACACCTGAAGGGATTTGGGGGGAGGGAAAGAAAAGGAAAACCAGAGTTAAGCAGTTGGCCCAGCCAGAACTTTAAGGCTATTTCTTGCACAGTTTTATCATTGCTCGTTTAATCCAAAACACATGGGTCATGGGAATTGTTATACCATTAAGTATCCTATCTAATATTCAGGATAGTTCATTTGATAAGATGTGGAAGGGTTGGAGAATGTTTTAGGAGATACTTACCTTGGAGCAGGGCCAAGAGGAAGAGGGGGACCAAGAGCAGCATCATTTTATTTTATTTTATCCAGAGAGGAGAAAAGTAATAATAGGAATGAAAAACAATAATGCTGGAATGGAGGCAGCCTTTCTCCTCAGCTGCAATGAAGTTAAATTACCAAGAAGCCTGTTATTTGAATTTGGGAGGCAGTGAGAGAATTTGCATAATGTAAAAAAGGCCACGCATAATAAAAGCAAGAGACCATTTGAAGCCAATAGGTGTCAGCATTACTTCTTGTGTTGAGATGAGCACATTGAGTGGATGTCTATGTAAACATACAAAATAAATATCATATCATATATCCTCCAATATTACTCTGATGAAAATTGGGGTGTGTGTATTTTGGTATGGTGCTACAGTGCGAGTTACTTGGCTTGCACGAGAGTGTGACACCACTGCAAGCACAAGTGCCGGCTCATCCTTTCCCCCAAGCTCGGTGGGGCTGGAGGAGGGAAACGTGACCATCAGAAGTAGGGATGGCTTCTATTATTCCGTGATGCCCCGGGACACTTGAAAGGTTATGTAATATAATACTATGTGGGAAAGGATGGAACAGTGCAAAATGACACAAGACAGCCATCAAGGAGTGGAGGAAAGCACAGACCAGATTGTGCTGCAACATCCACAAAGCCATAGCAATGGAACTGTTTCTTGATGCCCTTTGATCATGATGGGCTGTAGGCTATGTTGGCCTCTAGAAGGGGACAAGTGTGCAGATCCATTTCGCACCCCTTCCGATAAAGAGCTGCAGTCCTTATGTGGAAGTCATTACATGTAAGGCCAGAGAGCTCGTAGCTTTGAGGCTCCTTGCCTCCAAGAACCTCTTTTGTGAGAATTTGCAGGTGGTTGTCAGTCTGGAGATTTGAGAGATTGTCATTTGCTTTGGAAAGGATTGTCTCTGCTGCCAACTTCTTGACAGAGAGAATATAGCTGAGGGCTGGTCTGAGAGGTCATAAAAGCAATTTATTTTGTGTGGCATAGGTGACACTGTCATCATAATTGTGCCTAAGAAGTGAGAGGCAATCACTTAATAAAATTTCAAGTGGGAGCTGAATCCATAAAAGACAAAAATCAACCTAAGCGAATCCAAGCACAGCATACCCTCAACACTTCTCAGAATTTCTGCTGCCAAAAGAATGTGGCTGAACATTACCCTCACCATTTTGCCCTCAAAGGGGGTGCAGATTTTCAGCACAAATTTAGCTGCATTCATTCAATGGATGTCTGTTGGCGACAGGGATCTATCAGTTCCTGTGCAAGGGGTTGAGTCCGAGGGTGGATATTGCAGGGATGCTTCCTTGCTTTGGTTCACTGTGTTTCTCGCACAGCAAAATACACTGCTGTGTCTGCAGCTGTTGGGGAGCTCAGTTGGAGATACACTTCATTTCTGGAGATGTCCCTGGAGATGCTGGCTTGACTTCTCAGTGCTGAATTGATATCAGTGGTTCCTCCATTTGCAGTGTTGTGAATAATTGCTATCCATTCCAGCCCTTTCCCTGGAGGCTGCCGGATCCAGTGCCAGAAATAATTATCAAGCTGAACCCCAGAAACTCTGCAGGTCAGTTTGAAGGACTCCCCAGGTTTCACCAGTCCTGGACCAGACTCGATTATCTGTGGAGTGGAGCGGATGCCTACAAAAGAATGCAGAAATTGTGTCATAATTGGGAATCTCTCAGCATTGGGTTCAACATTTTTGTTTTTATTCCAAAGAATAAATCCTCACCAGGGGAGATGCTTAGGACAATGAGGAAAAGCAAAATGAAACTCATCTCCACTCCCTCCCTCCCTCCCTCCCTCCCTCCCTTCCTTCCTTCCTTCCTTCCTCTCTCTCTCTCTCTCTCTCTCTCTCTCTCTCTCTCTCTCTCTCTCTGTCTCTACTTTAAATTTAGTAAGGAGCGAATGGGACTCAGCCAGGCAATGGAGCCACACTGGACAATGCTATTTAAACAGAAGGAGGGTGGTGGGGTGATTTGCCTAGAGGGCGTTCTGTTGTGTCTGGTCCTGCATTTAAGAAGCAAAGAGGAGAAAAGGAGACTCAGTTGCAGGAATGACTCCAAGCAATGGTTGGGGGGGGGGCATCTCCCCAAATATTGCCTTTTACTGAATTGCTCTTCCACCTTTCATTCATGCCGTACTTTCCTCACTTAAGCAGGTTCTTTTTTGAATATAGGAAGCCTCCTAGTTCTTTTAGGGTCCTAGGAAAATTGCCTAGTAAGTCCATCTAGCTTAGTATTACTTATATTGGCTGGCAGCAGCTGTCCAAGGTTTGTAACTGGGGAGAGGACCTTTTGCTGATGCTTTTTGCTTGCGATTTGCTGTGGCCTCTTTGAAGGAGGCAAATATGCAGATCCCTAGAATGTAGAGGGAGAGAGAGTAAAGTGCTCATAAAAAAAACACACATTTATTTGTGAAATGTATTAAACTAGGGAAATGTGTGTATTGGGCAATATCACATACAAAAATAAAGATGTGGCTGTCATGGAGCACAGCTAGAGGGATAACTCATCCTCTGAATATTCAGTGGAGAATAGTTATGTGTAAAAGATGGGTCAGCCATGCAAAAAATAAAGGCCCGATAAACCAATTTATCTCTCTCCCCCGCACACTAAAGTTACCAGATTTTTTTCAGTGAATCCGGGAATACTTTTCAATTTCCTACTAAACAGATGGATTTTGTCAGGGGGCTGATTTGTAAATCATGGGATTGTCCCCAGGAGCTTTCCCTGTGAAAACCTGCTCTTTACCCCTGAGTCAGAGCAAATGACAAACCCTGAGAAACCCACATTGCTTTTTGTTGTGTACCTGCTTTAAAGAATGGGTTTTCATTTGGTTCAAAAAAGATAGCTTTGAAGTGTGGACCTGTGCTTGGAAAGAGTAGGGTATGCGTGGCTAAGTCCTGGCTGGCAGTAGCTCTCCAAGGTTTTAGGCAGGAATTCCTTCCCAGCCCTACCTGGAGATGCCTGGGAGTGAATCTGGGACGTTTCTGCCTACAAAGCACATGCTCTGCCCCTGAGCTACTGCCCTTCCCAAAATTGTTTTGTTCTGCATTTGAAGAAGAGTGGAGCAGAAATGTTTTACGGTGAGCAATCGAGCATAAAATATTGAATCTGTCTAGGAGGCCAAATGACTCTGCACAGTTTGTGTCTGGATCCTCCATTGCCTTGCCTCAGAGTGCTGCTCTGTCCCTTGCACAGTAATACACAGCGTTGTCTGCAGCTGTGAGGGATCTCAACAGAAGATAGAATTCATTTTTGGAGGCGTCCCTGGTGATACTGATTCTGGAGCTAAACCTGGAACTGTAGTATCCGTTTCCTCCCGCAGCCACACTCTGAATGCCGCCCAACCACTCCAGACTTTTCCCTGGAGTCTGTCGGTTCCAGCCCCAGTACCAGCCACTCACTTCAGCACCAGAGACAGCGCAGGTCAGCTGGAGGGGCTGTCCGGGCTTCACTGCTCCCAGGCCAGACTGGGTCAGATGCACACTGCAGAAGACACCTGAACAAAGCGAGAGAAATTAGTACCACTCCGTGGAGCCTCTCTGAGTTGGCTTCATAGGATTGCATCCTAAGACATCAGTTAATAAAGTTTAGGGAAGGGAAGTCCTCCAATCTCTTCTACCTTCTTGATCTCTGAAATGCATCATTAGAAGGGAAGCCTTTTGCTCAACGTTGGACTGGGCATTGCGGTCTGCTGAAAGATGGGGGAATTATTTGGATCCTTGCCAGATATTGGGCAATCCCCCCCCCCGAACTCCCTTGCATTATATCACCCATTGTCCATCCTCCCATCCCCAATACTCTAGGGATGGCTTATTTTTTGTTGGTGAGAGAAATTTAATGTCACCATGAATTGTCCTGACGTTAGTTCATCTTAGGCTCCAATTGTTTGGACCCAATTTTGTCCAATGTGTAATTGATCCAGTATAAAATCCTCACCTGGGCAAATACTCAGTAAAAGGAGAAGAAACATCAGAGATCTCATTTCTTTCTCTTCTCACTCACTCACTCACTCACTCACTCCTCTCTCTTTCTGAATGAATGGAAGGCTGTAGAGCAAGACTGAAGGGCTGTATTTAAAGAGGAGGAATCCGCCCAGCAGATTTGTTTAAAGTGAGCAGAGTGTATGAAACAAGGAGGATAAAAGGAGGCTTTGCTCCTTAGATGGCCACAACACGATTTTAAAGCTGGGGTTTAAAGTTATCGGGCTGTGGGTGTGATGTTCTGAAGGTGTGGGAAAATGTATACCTGTTGGTGGGTTAAAATATTTTATTGATTGCAGGGCTGTTTGACCATCATTAAAATACAAAATCCAATTAATAATACAATGTGCAAAACATCCTTAACAAGAAGCAGATGGAAATAGAAAGACAGTTTCTGAAACAGCTGTACAAATAAGAATGTTTCAGCCTGGTGCCCCAAATACAACAATATTGGGCTGCCTCTTTGGAAATGCCCCTCTGGAGGAGACTGCTTGGTTGATTTGCAGGGAAGGCGTATAATATAGAGATATGCTTGGGAAGCTGACTGCCTATTTGCTTCTGAGCCCAAATCAAGGTGCTCACAGTCAAAGAGGTGGTATGCCTCTCAACACTAGTTCCTGGAAATCAGAAGTGGTGTGTGTGTGTGTGTTCTTGTGCTCAAATCCGGCATGTGGGCTTTCCATAGGCATATTGATGGCCGTTGTGAAAACAGGATATAGGACTAGCAGCAAAGGGGTCCCTCACTTCCCTGGAGAATGCAGTCTCTATGGCAGCCCCTAAGTTATGGAATTCCCTCTCAATAGAGGTGCTTCTGCCTTCTTCACCATTTAGCTTTTGCAAACGTTGAAGACGGACCTATTTTCTCTGGCCTTTGACACCAGAGATGAGGGTTTTCAGGGCCCACCTTATACCTGCGATTGTGATTGTAATTGGTTTTTACTGTTTTTAGTTTAATTTAATTTTAAAATAGTTTTAATGGTGATGATAGTTTGAAGAGGATAAGCAGAAAGTGCTCACAATTTCAAAGCAGACCTTGCCATCAGTAACAGGAAGGTAAATCTGCTTGATTCAGTCACCTCCACTACTCATTTGTTCCAAACTCAAGTTCCATTTTCCTCATTTCTGCATCAGTCTGATATACGTATGTTT